ACGACTGTGGCCCTCTCAGGTAGAGCTTCTAGTCTTGTAGTACATAGACCTTTGGGCTTCTAAAGGCAGGCCCTGCTCATTGGCACTCAGCTGTGTGTTCCTCAACTTCCAGTAGGTGCTCTCTGGATGCTGCAGTAGTGGTGAGGGCACAGCTTTCAGAGTCAGATGAGGTTCTGGTGTCCTTTCCGGTGATCTCTAGTTGCGTAGCCCAGGCAGGGTAAATTACTAAACCTCTTGGTGCTTCAGCTTCCTCAGCTCATTGCTTCAGGTTGCTTTCAGGCAGTTTTAAATGCACAGAATGGGGATTGGAATTGTACTTTAAAAGATGGGGAGTTGGGGCGCCTGGGTGGTTCAGTGGGTTAAGCCTCTGCCTTCGGCTCAGGTCGTGATCTCAGGGTCCTGGGATCGAACCCCGCATCGGGCTCTCTGCTCAGCGGGGAGCTTGCTTCCCCCTCTGTCTGCTTGCCTCTGTGCCTACTTGTGATCTCTCTCTCTGTCAAATAAAACCTTAAAAAAAAAAAAAAAAGATGGGGGGAATTTTGATCAACAGATGACCCTTTGTGTAGCCAGGTAGGAGGTGATGAGAAGCATTTAAACTGTTGCATCTGGCCAGCTCAGTTGGTTAAGGTCTGCCTTTAGCTCAGATCCTGGGTCCTGAATCCTGGGATGGAACCCAACGCCCCCACCCCTCCCAACCTGGCATGCTCAGCAGGGAGCCTGAGGGAGAACCCTCTACCCACCCCCCACCTGTGCTCTTGCACTCTCTCAAGTAAATAAAATCTTAAAAAGCTATTGAAGCCATCATTAGTGACTTCGAATGCTGACATTTCTTATATTTAATGTAGTGATGGGAGACCAGGCTTAAAATCTGTCTGACCCTCAGGTTAGTTCTTGACCCACTGCTTAGAAGCTCTTAGCCCCTGAGCAAATTGCTTTCCTGAGACTTGGTTTTCTCATGTCTTCATGGGGATTGATGCTTAATTGCAGTGGTGAATCAACAGTAATATGGGTCGTACATGGTCTGGCCCTTCTGGCACTTCGGCCTTTCACATACTCCATATTAAAGGTGAATCATTGCTCTATAGCAAATAAATTAATCAGCTATTTAATAAGCAAGATAGTAAATGACCATGGCATTCAGTTTTTTAAAATGTCAACTTGATATCATCATGGTAGTTAACATTAGTATGTCATACTGTTTGAATGTTGAACTTGGTTTGCTTTTCTTTTCCCCAGATGGTATATCACTTATGGTCATGAACTCATTTGGAAGAACAGGGAGCCTCTAGTGAAAATTTGGCATGAAATGAGGACTAACAGCCCCAAAAAAGGAGGCGGCTCGAAGTAAAACTGGGATTGGATGAGACTGGTGCATGTGTCCTGTGCTGCCCCAAGAGTCCCAGGACACATCGGCCCTGGAGTGACCACGTCTTTGCTCCTGCCTGGAAGATACCCAGCACTGAGCTTTCCCAGTATTTTAAACTCTATCCCCAGTACATGTCTTATTAGAAAGTGAATTATGACAAAGTTGTGAAATAAAGGTTTCTATCTCTAGTTTGTAAACAGAGGGTGTGTGTCCCTTTTGAAGAGCGCTGATGCTGCCCTGGAATCGTGCTGTTATATTGGATGTAGCGGGAGCTGTGAACTCGGTGGAACTGCGCAGGGAGGGAAGGTCTGAGACTCAGATGCTTGTTTTTGTACTTTGGCCTTCTTGCATCTCTGCTTACTCACCTACCCCTTTCCTTGGTTGGCAGATTAAAAACAAAAAAATCTTCTGTCCGTCATGACTGAAATAACAGAGGTAGTATTTTCTAAGTTTTCTTAAGAAAGGTAATGTTTTCTGGCAGTGAGTGGCATATACAAAAAGATATTGTTAGGCTTCGTTTTCTAGATTAAAATTGTAGCTAATTTAAGCCTTAGAAGGAAATATCTTGGATAAATTCAGACTTGAATCTGAGCCTAATTGCATCTTATATTTGAAAATGTACATTCTTTGAATTGAGGCATCATACTGAAATAGCAGAGTGGCCATCAGAACAGCTTCCCTGTGGTTGAATTTGTGTTTGCCCTCATGATTGAAAATTATTTCTAGGAAATGCATTTTGAGAATTTAATAGTATTTGTTGAGATGATTTATAGGAGAGTTTTCTGTCTTTGGTGGCCTCAAGAGATAATACCGGTTCTTGCACTTGGAGGGAGTGCAGCCAGCTGTCGTGGAGGGGGTTAGGCTTTATGGAAAGGAGTGAGTTGTGCCCACCTCACAGTGCTGAGCTGAAAGGTAGCATGTCCCCACACAGAGGACTTGTGTAGGATTTGACAGTTCATATTCTTTTCCCCCCAGATTCTTCTCTAGTGAAATACCAATTATTCTTACCAGGCAGAAAGGATTCTATCCTAATGTCACTTCCAGGAGAGAGAGAGAAAGTGAGTGAGTGAGTGAGTGTGTGTGTTTGTGTTTCTTTTGTCCTAGCCCTCATTTTGCCAGTAAGGAACCAGGGTAGTTGTGTGTGGGAACTGCTCGGGGTCACACTGCTGTGCTTTGACATTATGAACATACTACGCTAACAACCTGGTGAGACACAGATGAGGCAAGAAGCATTTCCCAGAGATGGGATGGGAGGCTGAGATCACATGGACATTTCGTACGGAGTCCAAAATGAAATTTATGTGTTGCTGTGGGCAGACTAGGGACACGGACTGTGAAGACATGTTTTCCTGCTTTGTGATGGTTAGGGAGGGAGCATTTAGAAGGTCAAGTCCCTAAATCACTTCTCTGTCCAGAACATCCCTCAGTGCTAGTGCCTTTCAACAGGCAAATACCATTCTCTCTGTGAGAGGCCTTGTGAAGGGTCAGAGCCCAGCCCTGGAAGCATGAGCCTTGTAGTCGAGAGCTTTGGCAGTTGTCCCTACTCTTTGCCTACTAGGGTGTTTTCTCACTGTGGCTTCTCTGCCTGAGCACCCAAAGGCCATGTTCTGCCTGGCTCATGTGCCTCTTGGGCTGTGCCTCCTGAACTGGCCTGTTAAGTGTGGTACCCCCAGGAAAGCAGCTGTCTCATCTCACTCTACCTCCCCTCGCTTCAGTTATCTTCATGAGGATGTCTTCTGAGCTCTGGGCCTGTGGACTATTTCCGTCCTTAGTACATGCATCTACTGTATTCCAGGTGTGGTTTCAGGTGCTGGGATCCCACTGCATAGACATCTCAAGTATCACTCCTGGCTTGAGTGATCTCACCAATTGGAAGTCAGAAACTTGGGAGCCATTCTAGATTTCTTCCCCTCCCATGTCTAGAATCCAGTGCCCCTTTCATTCCCAGTGCCTGTGCCTTAGTTCAGTCCCTCATCTCTAACCTGGACTGTTGAGACTATTCTCCAGCTGGTCTCTAAAATTTCCTTGTGTGTCTTCATATGGCCACAGAGTGCTGAAAACACTTCAGTCATTCCCTATTGTCTTCCATGAAAAACTTGTGGCTCCCGAGGCTCTCTGATCCAGCCTCTGATGCCTTTGGCTGAACCTCCCAATCCCCTATCCTGCATTTCCACCCTGAACCAACTACCCTCCCTCATTACAGGTGGCGGGGCCAGCTGCCCTCCCCCACTTGCTTTATCCAGTTCTCTTGTTGCCTACTACACTGAACCTCTGGGGTCCCCCAGCATTATTCCAGGCACATAGTAAGTGCTCTTTGTAGCTTAATGAATGATGAAGAAATAAAAGGAAGAGCTATCACTTTTTTTTTTCTTTTTTCCTGCAGGATGGAGTATTTATTGTATTCTCCAATGTCCCAAGTGGCTATCCCAGGGCCCTGGAGTATGGAGGTCACAGAAAGCTTGTCCAGCCCAGGGAGAGCAGGTGTGTAACTTTCCAGTGACTTCCCAGTGTGCTTCTCTCCTGCTGCCTCCTGGGCCATGGCCTGGCCACCGCAGCTGTCTGTCACTTTACTATGACTGGAAGCTGAAAGGGGGTGGTTTGGGGGAGGAATCTGTGTCCTGACTGGTCAGGGCTCCACTGCAGTTTTCTGCTCTGAGATGCACACTGGAGACGGTCCAAGTATGTGCTGGAGATGGAGCTCTGGCTAATTAATGCTGTTTCGTTGTGTGATTAGTCAGTGGTCTGCAGTACACATTGAGGGCGTGTGTCGGATACTCAGGAAGTCTTGTGAGTGTGGCCAGGGAGATGTTTCTGGTGCCCTGTCGTGCATTAAACAGACTGACCTCCAGCCTGGAGGATTACCCAAACTTTGCAATAAAAAAAGAGTGCATGCACAGGAGGGAAGGGAATGTTTACAGCACAATGGCCAGAGACGGCAGCTTTATAACGCCAAGTCTTCTGTTGCCATGCTTTAAAATGAGGGATTTTAGAACTCAGGGAAAGGTCAGTTGAGGGCTAATGCCAGTTCTCAATGAAAACTGGATTGGCTGTTACAAATTTAGCGTCGTAAAGGCGAATAGTGACTCACTGGCTGATTCAAGCACGTGTCCTCTGGAAGCATGCCCCCCCCCCCCCCCCCCGTCTGCCCTGTGATCCCCGCATCGCGGTACCTCCGCTGTGTGCACCCTCCGGCGAGTCTCCGCGGAGCAGCCTAGCACAAATGCGGCAGCCCTGGCTGCTCTGCGAGCCCCAACAGCCCGGCAGCGGCGGACTGCGCCCATGCCGGCCCAGGACCATGGGCGACCGCGTTGTTGCCACCGGGCTCTCGCTCTTGGCGAAACAGCTCCGATTTAGAAAATAGTATTAAAGAAACTTTGGATTAAAAGATGAAACCTTCCAGCTGGACACTAGTGAATGCCTGCAGGCGTTTTGGGGTGCCCACCCCCAGCCTTCCCATCCCCACCTCCCCGCCTCTGCGCCCACCGGTCCGTGCTCCTCCGCGGCGCGCACCCAGGCCCCACCGGGCCCTCCTCCCTCCACTGCCGGCCTCCCCCAGGCCAGGGGGCGGCGCTGCGGCGGCGCGGGGAGGGCCGCGGGGGCGGGGACGCCGGGCGGGGGAGGTGCGGCCCGGAGCGCGGGGAGCCGAGCAGCGGGCACCGGGGCCGGCATGGCGTGGCCCTGCATCAGCCGCTTATGCTGCCTGGCGCGGCGCTGGAACCAGCTGGACCGCTCCGACGTGGCAGTGCCGCTCACCCTGCACAGCTACTCGGACCTCGAGAGCGAGGAGCCCGGTGCAGGCGGCGCCGCTTCCCGCAGGGGCCCATCTCCTGCTGGCACCCGGGACCCCGGCCGGGACGTGCCGCTCACTCAGTACCAGCGGGACTTCGGCGTGTGGACTGCCCCCGCGGGGCCCAGGGATGCTCCGCAGGGGCGTGGGTCGGGTGTGGGCGGCCGCAGGAACAAGCACCCCACGGCCCCTGGCCGGGGTGTCTACGTGCTCCCCATCGGCGACGCGGACTCGGCTGTGGTGACCACGTCGTACAGGTATGGGGCTTCGGGCAGGGGAGTGCATCGAGTCCGGACCCCATGGTAGGAGGAAACGGAGGCTGTGAACCATGAGGACCACCTTGGTGGGGAGGGAGGAGGCACCTGGAGCCCCCATCCCACACCACTTGGAGAGCCGTAGGCGACCTCGGAGGTCATCCCCTTTGGTCCCAGGTCCCAGTGCACTTTGAGGTATCGCCTTCGCTGCTCCCTAACAGCCCCCCCCCCCCCCCGCCATGCCAGTGAATGAGCGAGCACCTCTGCTGATAGGGAGCTCACTACCTTGCTCACACCTCACTCCTCTCCATCCTCTCCCTCACTCAGCCCTATCAGAAAGCCCTGCCGTCAACGGAGTTAAAATCTGCTTTAACTTCCACCAAGTGGGTCTCGCCATAGGCAGGGTATGTGCGGGTCAGCTGCCTGAGCTCCCTCAGCCCCGTGCCCTCTATGGATGCGTTGCTGATGAGGACCAAACAGGGCTCCCAGTAGGTGGCCCCCTAGGGAATCTCGCTGAGTGACAGAGATCTATGGGGCCACCCTGCCCCCACCTTAGCTCTGCCCCTGGACAGCTCAGGGCATTCTTTGTCTTATTACAAAACTTGTAGTAGAAAACCGGGAAATTACAACAAATTCCTTTAACCCCACCCAAACTGGTAGTTCTTTCTAATCCTTAAGCTTTTGAGTTCATACCCATTTGTAATTCTTCTATGTTTAAATACTGTACACATTTTCTGATCAATTTTGGATTTCTTCGTGTTACTAGATATATTTTTACAACAGGAATATTAGTAGACATGCAATGTTTTATCCAAAGGATTTACATTTGTCCATATATTGATGTATATTCCAATTATTAATCTGTCATTAAATATTTAGAATGTTTCTAATTTGAGACCATTAAAAACATTTCTTTTGATCCAGTACTTCATTTCCAGTTTTCCTTGCAAGTATCCTTGAATGTGGGGTGGGAACTAAGGAATCTAAGGTATGTTGCAACACTCTACTGCAGAAGATGGAAACAGTCCCCTCTGCTCCTGATGCAGCTGGCTAATTATGATTCCACCATAGGATGGGCTACTGGGAGGCCTAGGATGTAGTGATAGTGGAAGGTCTGGAAGATCTTGGATGGGTGTATATAAAAAAACCAAAATGCAGAACAGTGTGTCTGCTGTTTGTGTTTTTAAAAGGGGTATGATATATGCGTATCTGCTCAAATAGGTTATCTCTGGGTGGATGTGTGGAAACACAGGAACCTTTGGGGAGAGGTGGGAGGGCCGGGGAGGAAGGGATGCTGCCAGGGGCAGAAGAGCACTGACTGACTTCTCACCCTTTCAAGAACTGTTTTGTTTTGTTTTGTTTTGTTTTTAAACATGTACATGTTTTTTAAACATGTTACCTTTAAAAAAAAAAACACCTTTTTTTAGAGAAAAAAATTGTTGTGATGAGCATCCTTATAGCTAAACGTCTTTGCTCCTTTCAGTTTCTTTAGAAATTCTGACCTGTGGAATTAAAGGAGCAAAAAGGTATGAACTTTCCCCCTCAGTTTTATTATTTAAAAAAATCAACTGTATTAAGGTGGGATTTCCACAGAGTAATTATTTAAGACGTGTAGAAGGTTCCATCTCCCCAGGGTTTCCTTCATGGGCATGCAGTTTTTCAGGAACCTAATGGGGAAAGGTAGTTGTGAGATGGGTCTTGTGCTCACCGACGCCCACTCACACTGACTGCTGAAATGCACAGGGGAACATCAGGGCAAGGCCAACACTGAGCCCAGCTCAGGCCCTTGCCAGGCTGCAGAGGGTTCAGACTGCTGTGTGCTTGCAGTGAGCCAGCAGGAGGGGCCTGAATGGTGAGAGGCCCGAGGGCCTGGGTGTGTAGCACCTTCAGATGACTGATGTTCCAGGTCAGGAGCAGGAGAAGGGGCAGAGCCTGCAGGGAGCCAGCTTCAGCTCAGGGAAGGAAGAGCTTTCTAATAATTCCAATAGACTGATGATGGAGTGAGTGGCCTCCGGGGTGCTGAGCTCCTCCTCACTGGTAATGTTCGAGCGAAGTCGGGGCTTTTAGAAGTGGCCCCTCACTTGTGTTGAGCAGATGGTGGGTTTGAACATCTTACTGGGTCCTCCCAGCTCCAGTGATACTAAAGGTACAAGTTGTTACTCTCTGCTTATCAAGTGCCAGAAACCAGGCTCAGGACTTCCCATAGATTATTTCCTTAAGATCTCACCCCTGAGATGCTGCCGTCTCTGCATCCCTTCATTTCTTGAGCTGGGTCCTGCAGTGGTGGAAAGCTACTGCACGGAGTTGGGACTCACTGGAGCTCTTGTTTTCTGGGGTATAACTTGGTGGGTCATGTGGCCTCTCTGACGCTGTCCTCTTCTATAAAACAGATAGCCAGAGCTTGACTCCTGGGGTCCCCATACCCGCAAATCGGGCCTAGATCCAGGACCACTGCTGAACTTGGCTCCCCCAACAGCGTGCCAGCTGACCTCTGGGACCCCTCACCTCCCAGCTCTAGGACTTGATGTGGGAAACCATTCTGACTCCTTGTAAGACCCACGTAATCCGAGTGAACTGTTAGAAGAAATTCACAAAGAAAAGGAACAGATCAGGGAACCCGAGGGTACCGGAGTCCTCATGGTCACTCGCCAGCCCCTGCTCCTCTTGAGAAAACTGACCGGCCTCACTTTTTGGCCAGAGGGGCGTTGCGGATCTTGCTCTTGCAGCCAGCCCTGGTCTCTCCCCTCTGGGATTCCCTAGGTGCCATTCAGCGCCTTTGGCCCAGGATCTAGTTCCACGCACTCTGGAAGACCTCCTTCCTCAGTCCTCTACCTCTTTCTTTCCTGGGTGGGGCACAGGGCAGACCACTGAAGTGCCTGGCACCAAGGTTCATTATAGCCTTCTGCACGGAGATCGGTAGCCCTTTTCATGAGGAAGCTGAGGCTCAGAGAAAAGGCATTTGAAGCCTTGAGAACCTAGGGCGCTCGGCATTGCCACTGGTGGCCCGTGGCTCTTAGTGTGACTGCAGCCTTCAGGGTCCAGCTGAGGCCCAGACCAGGTGGATGCTTGGTCAGGGGAGGCACTGGCATATGTGGCTTGTCTTGTGTTTTTAATATCCTCTTCACCAGAGCCATAAATCTGCTCTCCTCTCCCTGGCCATCAAAGGGTCCTGCTGCTTCTAGGTCTGAGGTTCTATCTCCGTCCCCGCTGAGGTCTTCCCTCACTGGTTTCCGGCACCAGCCCCACCCAGGAGCAGCCAGGGGGCATTGCTCTAGCTCCTGGCTCTGATCCATTTCTGTGCTGGGACCCCTGCAGCCACCCTGGGGTGACAGGCTTGGGCTGCCAGGCCCAAGGCTCAGCTCAGTTTGGGGACAGAAGGGCGCATCCAGGGGAGGACCTGCTTCCCCAGGAGAAACAGAATGGCAGATGGCTCGGGCAGCTGGTCTTTGGAACCTTGCAGCTTCAGAAGCAAAAGTGATCTGACAGGGCCCAGGCCCAGCTCACCTCCTGGCACCTCTGAGCGCTGACCACGGGCAGACACAGCCGCTCCCTGCCCCAGCGGCCGGCCTCGTGGTGCCCAGCTGTGCTGCTGCCAAGGACAAAAGGCAGCACTGTTGGCTTCGGGCCTGAAGCCCAGCCAGGGCTGCGGGAGGAGGAGATAAGAATGGACCCGGCCCGCATGTGGGTGCTGCCCCGGCCAGCTGGACACTTTTCTACAGAACACGGTCTTGGCCAGGGACTCCTATGGACACAGCAGTTCTCTGCCTGCCGGGCTCACTGTCTAACACAGGAGTTGAGAGAATTTAAAATAGGTCTCAGTGCAAAAGAACCAAGGAATTAAATCTTTGTCAAAACACATACTCTGAGCGGCGGCTGGGTGACTCAGTTAAGTGTCCGACTCTTGATTTCAGTTCAGGTCATGACCTGGGGGTCATGAGATTGAGCCCTGCCCAGCAGGGAGTTTGGCTGGGAGTCTGCTTGACATTCTCTCTCCCTCTGCCCCCTCCCCCTCTAAAAAAAAAATACTTGAACTAAAAAAAAAATGTACTCCGAGAACATGAAGCTGGTTTGTGCCAGCCTTGTCACTTCTATCTATGGAGTCAGCCACCCCCAGGTCCTCCCCTTCTGCATCCAGGCAGGAGCGCGTGTGTGCACGGTGTCCTGCAGAAGCCAGACCAGCTTGTGGTTGTTTGAGATAGTCACTACAATCTGTTCTGTTTTGTAGGAGTTAATAAGACCAGTTATTAAAAAGTAAACCTGGGGCGCCTGAGTGGCTCAGTGGGTTAAAGCCTCTGCCTTCGGCTTGGGTCATGATCTCGGGGTCCTGGGATCGAGCCCCGCATCGGGGTCTCTGCTTAGCGGGGAGCCTGCTTCCCCCTCTTTCTCTGCCTGCTGCTCTGCTTACTTGTGATCTCTCTCTCTCTCTCTCTCTCTGTCAAATAAATAAAATCTTAAAAAAAAAAAAAAGTAAACCTAATACTGAACTTATTTTTCCTTCTGTTGTAACCAGGTACAGAAGACCTTTGCTGTGCCGGGCACTGTCTGGGCCAGCACCTCCCTCCTTTGGATGTAAGGGCCACCAGTGGCCTGGGCTGGAGGTGACCGACCTGCACTGGTTCTGGGTATCTCAGGCTCCTTAGAGTTGCCTGGAGACTAAAGAGGGAGCACTGAAGGAAAGGCTGGGACTTGGTTTCCGATGCCCAGCACATCCCAAGTGCTCACATCTGGACCCAATTTAGCAGTGGAGAATGGCCAGGACATTCCAAGCAGCACAGGACAATGGCAGCGGCCCCTGAAGAGTCGGGAGGGCTGACTGATCCTGAGCCAGGTGGTAACCATGTCCTCTATTCCAGACAGGAGTTCCAGGCCTGGACTGGAGTGAAGCCGCCAAGATCCACAAAGGCAAGACCTGCCACAGTCATCACAACCCACAGCTCTGGATGGGACAGCAGCCCCGGGGGTGGCTTCCAGGTCAGCCTGAAATGGGTGTGGCAGGGCAAAGGGCTGGGCTCCCAGCTGCAGAGGGTGTGGGAACAGAGGCCCCCTTTCCAGGTTAGGGACGAGGAGTCGGATTTTGATGATGCAAAATGGCATTAGGGCCAAGGACAGTAGTGTCTGAGCACTCAGTCATCCTTCAGCAGAGAGCCACAGTGGTCCTTGGTTGCTGGCCAAGGGGGGGCATCTCCCTAGAGCGACTTCCTGGCGAGCAGGGTGTCCCTTTCCCTCCTAAATCCCAATCTTACCCTTGACCGCTGAGCAGTAACAATGAGCTTTCCATGTCCTTGGCATTTGTGTTAGAAGATGGACGGGAGGTTGGGACTGTTCAGCTTCCTGATTCCACCCAAAGGAGGCTTCAGGGAGCAGAACAAAAGGTCCAGGTGCCATATTTGACCTAATGCAGTGACCTGCCCCGTGCATGTTTCCCACACAGACCCTTTAGGTCTGCAGTCTCATCTCTTGGGATGACAAGAGGCAGAAATTTTCTTCCTGGAGCTGGAATGGGAGGTGGTGGGGAAGGAAAGTGGAGGGAAAGGCACATTGATATGGGGCCACATTTCATTTTTCAGGCCCCCGAGGGGAAGAAGAAGTTCACCCCTAACCCATCAGCCATCTTTCAGGCTTCAGCTCCCCGGATCCTCAATGTGTGACTGGCCACACTGGCACCAAGATGGGGCTGTCCTCGGCCACTCAGGGACTGGGTGAGATCCTGGGATGGCCCCTCTGCTGTGTGAGGGGAAGGCCCCTATTTCTTATTGTGCGCACCACTCCTCCCCGGCTGCCACTGGGCTGTGGGCCTGGCACGGATGGACACGGTAGCACCCAGCTCAGCTTTGGGCCTCAATCATCCTCTTTTCCCTTGAGAAGTGTACAGAAAGCTTCAGATCTTTTAATTGCCTCTTTTGGCCTCCCTTCAGTTTTTAAATCTGAAGAACTTAAGGATCAATTCTGTTGTAAACAGAATTGGTCTGTGCGGGCTGAGGAACACAGACATAACAGGTGCTTGAAAGAACCAGTCCACTTAGTTGTTTTCCCAGGCTGCATGAGAACTTTGTGACCTATGTTAACCCAAGGGGACTGTCCTTGGAGATGCCTACAAATGGCCACATATTCAGGTTGAAGAGATCTTGGGTTATTACCTGCATGTGACTCACCGTGATGCTGAGTAACTAGAATGTCATTTCCCAAAGGAACAGAGTATCAATCACAGGGTTTCAATTTCAAAGACGTAATTTAGGGCCCAGATGACCCTTATGTTTTAACAAAAGGCTTCTTCTGAGGAGTGCTTGAAGTGCTGAATGAATGTCCTTGACCTTGTAGGTTTCTGAGCCCCACATTTTATTACTAATTCCAGTTTTTTCCCTTACAGTTGACGACTAGAAGGGAACACCATACATACTGGCAAAGAACTGGGAGCATTTTTTGGGACGAAGTGGGATTATCCTCATTCTCTGAAAGACTTTAACATGTTATCTACACCTAGATGACTCCCACCCTGCTCTCTCACTTACAGTTGGGGGAGCTCACTGTGAGGAGGCAGCTGTCGGCTTTGGAAAGCTGCCTCCTTTGCCGGTAAGTCCCAGCCCATGTGGCCACGCCGAGCGAGCCTGGCCCAGTTTGCACAGCCGGCGGTCAAACATTCGAAGGCATTTCTGTCCGCTCTTGGAGATTAGAGGCACAGGCTAAGGACAGTTCTTGGTAAGGAAACTCCAGGATTTCCCTGTGGGTCTTCCTCCCTCTCCAGCCCCCACGCAGCCGCGGACCTCCCGTTTCCCAGCCCCTCGAACGACTTGGAGCGGGGCTGGTCCCTCAGAGGGAGGGCTGGCTCTGGCTGGCACAGCCTTGCTCTTAGTGCAGTAAAGGAAATGCTCTGAATCATTTTAAAGGCAGAACCAAAACCATATGCTTACACAAAGGGTTCTATTATTTCCGACTTCATTGGTTTGCATGCTAGACGTTTCTAAGAGAAAAGAGACTGCCTGCTGCTGTGCATTCTGTGGGAAATGAACAGATTAACCGTACAATCTCAGATTTTACTAAAATGCAAAAATGTATTGTTACAATTTCTTGTTAGCTTATTTCTTTAATTATAAACCTGGAGCGCCTTCTCATACGTCTTTATCATCCTCTTGGACTTCCGCGTGTCGTGGCTATTACTGGTTGTCCCTTGAAGGCTGACAAATCCCAAGGTCTCTCCGTTTGGACTGCCATCCACAGTGGTGTCTTATGCGGTATTCACAGGACACACCAACCTCCCCTCTTTCATGTGCACTACCCTCCGCACTCCCGAGGCTAGGGTGAAAAGACCCTCTTTGAAGCTAGTCTTGGGCTAACTCCTGACTTCTGTACTCACTGTGAGCAGCTTCCATTTCCTTATCTGCAGAGTAAGGAGAACACCCCTACCTTGCTAGTAGGAGTTTCTGTTTACGGGCAGCGTGCTTATTAGTACAGTGAATGGCCAGCAAAGCACAAACATGACAATTGTCCTTTCCTGCCCAGGCCTCCCCCTTCTCAGGGAGCTGGCTCTGTTCTCCCTTGCAGGTTTGGCCCATCTGAAGCCACTGACACAGTCCTTCTCCCTAGACCCTGCTTGTGTCCCCCTTCTCTCCCTGAGAGCCTGCAGACCAGACCGAAAGGCTGTACCTCAGCCGGATCCCACAGGCCTGCCTTTCCTGGCAGCCTTGGCACCACAGCAGCGGGAGCAGCCCTGCCTCACGTGGCCTGCCTCTGAAGGCAGACTGCATGCCCAGGAACCTTTTTGGAATGCACCAGAACAGACAGCTTTTCACCAAACCCCTAACTCGATAATCCTCTTTACTAGGCTTCATTATTAGAAGACTCGGGTTCTGAAGAAGGAACTTCCACCCACTCTAGGTCTTAGTAAGGCCTACCATCCCATTAGGCTTTCCAAAGCAACTGAGACAGTAGTCTCGGGCGTGTGGTACTGATCACATATATACAACAGAGGAAAATGCAGCGAATACTAATGGTGATTATCTTTGGGAAGGGGAATTATGGGTAACTAAATTTTTTACACCTTACTATATTTGCTAAAGTTTCTATATAATAAGCATTTTGTATTAATTCTGTAAAGAGTAATGTTTTTAAAAATAAAAAGTTCAATCTGTCAGCTAATTTCAGCCAGAAGCAAGCATTCAGTATCAGTGATTGCATAACCAGTGTTAGCACTGCCAGCAGCTGCCAGAACTTGCCCTGAGGATGCACCGTGACACCCAAGCAGAGTGGTGCCCCTGAAGTCCTCCCCCACAGCCGCTGAGACCAAGGTCCCGCCTTGTGCTCCATGGTGCTTCAAAACTCAGAAAAACCCAGTACAAATGAGAATACTTTCATACCTGTACTAACACCAGGATTTTCAGCCAAACTCCTAAAAAGGAGCTTTTGAAAAACCTTGACCCTACAGCCCACCTGGGCAGACGGGGGAATGTCCCCTTTAGTGGGGTCAGGTCTGCCAGCGCTGTTCACACAGGCTTCTGTCAGTAAGAGCGAGTCCCCAGCTGAGGAGCTGCCTGGGACATGAATCTCTGTCCTGGGGCTCCAGTCAAAACCGTGGCTGAGATCAATATTCAGGAAAGGAGCCTAAGCAACACCCCTATTCTCCCTCCCTCTGGACATTTCGATTCTCTAAAGGCTGAGGCGAAGTCTGGTCCCAGGAAAGCTACGGATCTGGAATCCCAATCCCTCTGCCCTGCAGAACTTCCTGCCTTTGAAGAACCAAAGCTTTCAAAGCCCTTTGTCTTGTTAAGGGTGGATGTAAAAAGTGGTCATTTCTGAAATGTTTCTGCATTTTTGGTTTTTTATTTTTTTTTAGCCATTCTGCTAGCAGATGGTCACAGCAGGGCTGTGTCCCCAGAGTAACTTCTTCCAGACCTCAGCAGAGACCAGTTCCAGCTTTCCAGACAGAGCAGTGTGCTTCTTCCTTAGACAACAGGAACGGTTTCCCTCCTTGCCTTGGCTTTGAGGAGGCGCCGAGGTCCATTAGGTAGTTTTCCTTTGCCCCAAGCTGTCAGAAATCCTTATTTCTGGGTCCGTGTGCATCTTCTAAATTTTTTCCCCAGACTTTTATGTAACTGTAATCCTTTATCTTGCACAGCTGCAAATTCTTGGGAAGAAGTGGCAGGATCAATGTAAACACAAATACCTGTACCTCTGCCTGCTCCCGGCTCCTTCGGACCTCGTGGAAGAACCACCCACCAAAGTGTAGTGCTTCGAACTCAGAAAAACCCAACACAAATACTAAAAGGTTTATTGTAGTTTTGTTACACAATTATGTTACATGTTATGATATAAATACATCTGAAACATTAACACATATGGGAACTGTTAAATGATTTAATATTTCTTTTGCAAAAAGATAATTACTTTAGGCTTTCATACCTGTAATAAATCGATCTGTTCTCATTGGGATCAAATCCTCCATCCTGTAAAACTGTCACAGTCCGCTGCTGAATAAATTTATGCACCTGTCCACTGGCCTCGCTTGCAGTGGTTAATGTATAGAGTATCTGAGCCTTTATGCACTAAACTTTTTTACTGAGCCCGGGCATGCCTGATGCCTTATTGAACAGGTTTCCTTGTGCACCTGCAAATCCTCGGATGCTGAATAGAGAAGGGCAGATCTCTTGGTCACCTCCCTGCCTTCTGTTCCTGACCCAAACGTCTACACAACTCATGGAAACTTCAGTTATGTTGACTGGGTAAGTCTGATTCACAAACTTCAAATTTCCTTTGAGCAGATTCCTCACAGAATAAATTCTCTCCTTTCCTTCGACACAGACTATGTTAGGACAGAGTATCTGTAATGCAACTGAGTATCACGCGGGCCCTGTGGACCCTCCTCCTCCCGTTCACTTCTCCCGCCAAGAGGGCTCTGCATCTGGGCACAATCTATTCTCACTGCTTCTAAGCACTAACATTCCTGTCTCGTGGCTTCGGCAGTCATTTCTCTCTCTTTAAGGCACTCACAGTGTTTCCTTGAAACGCTTTTCTTTGGAAAAGCCAAGTGGAAAAGAACAGGGCACTAAGTCCACTGACAGGACTCCCCATTCCCGCAGGCCTGGCCCAGGGGCTGCTCCCCACTGGTCCCTCACCACGGGGTGACCCACGTACCCCGTGAATGCTGTGGAACCAGCTCTGCCTGACACACACAAAGCTGGTCCAGGTCGGCCAGGTGCCTGGGATTTGCGGGTGTTCTCTATTACTGACCTAGGGAGAGCTGCTTGGTTATAGTCAGACCTTTCCCGGACATTTGCTGGGATCTGCCTACCCCTTGACGGTGCTGACCTTGGCTGCAGTAATGTCCCTATGCTCCATGAAAACACTTCTGCACAGCGTGTGGGTTCCCAGGCTCTGCTGACTTCTGCAAGGCATTATTGCCCCCTAAGGCTGATGGGGTCCCCCACGCCACAGCCACCGGATGAGGGCAGAAGCCCCGCCTGGCTCCAGAGGTTACTAGGGTAACTGCAGGAGCTGCCTGTAGTCCCAGAATAGGTGGACCACCAGCGTGGCCCAAGGTGCCCCTTGACACCCAGAGAAGGACCTGCTGCACATGGCCTGGCCCAGCTTGGAGATTCTGTCCCAAAGCTTTTCCAGAGAGCGAGCAAATGCAAGCTGACAGAGCACACATCCCCTCACAGCTTCATTCTAGACTCAGAAACTTCTGTCCTAAAGGGATCTGATCTAGGACCGAATACTCCGGTGTTACAGTGATTTAAGTGGAGGCAATGGTTTGGTAGCCATAATATTTCGAGGCACAAAGACAATCACCTCCTTCCCCAAAGAGAAGAGTCGTCGCAGTTCGAAGCTTCGGATACATCTGCAAATCCTGCTTTTCTAAGGGCATCTTCATTCTATTCACTGGTCTTCATTCAATATTCCCATGTGTTTATTTGTAAGAAAGTCCAGAAAAGGAATGTTGCAAATGGCCTGGTGAATGTTACTCACTGTAATTTCTTTGGGAATCCTGTCCAAAAACAAAGCATATTAGGTGCAATTTTCTAATCAATTTATCAAAAGGGCCTCCACCCCTCACCCCACCCTCCCAGAAGGGGGACAGAACTGAGGCAGGATTTAGGGCCTCCTGGCATGGGGGAGGCCAGGTGCATGTTCTTGCTCGCTCTCCTTTCCCATTAGTTTCTTTAGTTTTAGTAAAGACTGTCCTGCCCTCTTCACAGCCAGCCCAATCTAGGGCTCAAATCAGACTTCCCAGTCCCAGGCATTGGTTGAACAATGAAGAAAAAAGCCTCTGAGGATTGAGAAAAGAGGAAGGAAGTAAAGTGGACAGCAAAACAGAATGATGTTTTCGTCGTTCTGTCTGAGCCGACTGAGCGGAGTCAAAGGGCTGCAGAACTGCGGGACCACGGTTCCGTCTGTGGGGGGCATGGGATACGGAGCCCAGCCAGGCCAGAGGGATAAATGTTTTTATTAAGAGCGTCCCAGGCACCCTAGCTCCACAGCTGGGACGACGGAGGCGAGCAGAGCCACAGAAAGCTCTCAGCCCACACTCTTGGGCTTCACACACGACAAGGAACATTCCCGAACTCCTGTTTCTCCTTCCCTCTTTCTTAAAGAGGTCTTCTGCACTGCCCGATGTATTCTAATCCTGTGAAGTCTGACCTAATAGTCCTCTGATGTAGGCCTCTTTATGTCCTCAGATGCTTTTGATACAGTTTTACAAATTTAGGACAGGCTTGAAGGGTACTGGGATAAAATACTTGTTTCCCTGGAAAGGAATGCCAGGATGTGGAACAACAGAAGGGCTGTCTGCCATGCTCTAGGGCCTAAGAAAAAGGCAAAACTCCGTGTCCCGACCAGTAATAATAAGGGGGCAGCAAAGCAGTGGTGAGCGGGTGAGCTTTAGGGCCAATGAGGCCCACCACGTACGTGCTGGGAAAGCCAGGGAATGGGAACATTCAGAGCCTGGTTTCCTGACTTCTAAAAAGGGGGCAGAATTCTCCCATGAAAAACAAATCAGGTAGCGTATATGATATCTAACCCCCAGATCTAACACATCACAGTCAATATTATCTTTTCTTTACAAAGAACTGGCATTTGTTCCACCCAGGAGTGGAACGGAGTCCTAATGAACAGCGTGTCTGAAGGAGTGACACTAGGAAGATACAGACCTCTGGGTAAAGCTGAGCTTTCACAATCACAAGAGTCTCGAAATGACCAAGCAGACCCCTAAGTCTGTCTGGTTCTGAGAGCGTCCCAAACACTGACACCTCCATCTCCAACTGGATGAGGCAGAAAACCTCTTCACGGGCAACTAAACTGTCAGGAAGAATCTGTAACCCTAGTACCACTGACGAAAGAGATCTCGGTACCTGTTGTGAGATGCTGTCCGGTATCCAACCGCCAAAGCCTGTCTCAGGATGTCGTTCACCAGTTGCTCCGTGGCCTATGACAGAAGATAGGATTACTCTTGAAAATGGCCACGTGCCTGCTGGTGAGGAGGGACACATCTGACCTCATCCCATATACAGAACTTTGCAAACAAATGTATCTAAGGATAAAAACTCCTTAAGGAAAAACTAAAGGTCCAAATAATAGACCACAAATATTAGGTTACAAAAATAAAGCCCAAGATTCTGAGAAATTATGAATGGGGGGAAACTTTCATTAATCAGACACTGTTTTTAAGGAAAATAGGTTGAGGAGGGCACTAAGGTGGCTCAGTCGGCTGGGCATCTGCCTTTGGCTCAGGTCATGAGCCCAAGAACCTAGGCTCAAGCCGCTCTCGGGCTCCCTGCTCAGCACCAAGTTGCTTGTCCCTCTGCCCCTCCCCCAGCCTGCTTGTGCTCTCCCTTAAATACATAAAAGCTTAAAAAAAAATCTGGGTTATTTCTATCTAAACAAAAAAGGAAAACCAGTGAGGGTTATTTGCGAGTTATCCCTGCTGGGGGAGGGATCTGACCAGAAAAGTAGCCGCGGGGCTACATCAGGGTGGGTAAGGAAGCTAGTTTGTCATCCTCTTGCCCAGGGTTGGGACAATTGTGGCTGTTTCTCTGTTGTTGTGACACGTGGAGAAAACCCAAGGCTTTGCTTCTGTCGCGTCCTAAAGCAGCGAGAGCACTCATCTCAGATTGCTTCAGAAGGCACTAAAAAGTATCATTCGAGTGACATCAGCAGAGAAACTCGTAGATGCTTTCACACTCAGAAGACCCATTATTTAGTTCTTTTAAAAATCAGAAAACATGGGGGCGCCTGGGTGGCTCAGTGGTTAAAGACTCTGCCTTTGGCTCAGGTCATGATCTCAGGGTCTTAGGATCGAGTCCCGCATCGGGCTCTCTGCTCAGCAGGGAGCCTGCCTCCTCCTCCTGTCTCTCTCTGCCTGCCTCTCTGCCTACCTGTGATCTCTGTCAAATAAATAAAATCTTAAAAAAAAAAATCAGAAAACATAAAGCCCAATGAAGATGAAAAATCCTAAAACTTATGATCTCTGTTCCATTTCTGCCCCATCCCTTACTCAAAACAGCCCGGGACCCAGGCTATCCTGCCCACTGGCACCTCAGTGCCCCAGCCCCGGGCGGCAGCTGCTCATGGGCCTGTTGCAGCTGGCACCCACCTTTAAAATCATGTCCTCCACCACCGATGCGTACACGTTCTTGTGAAGTGCCACAGGCTGCAGGGTGATCCCGATCTGGAAAAGCAGAAAAGCCGTTTTCCTATCTCTACACTGAAAACCACCTCTCTCCAAACAAGCACACTTCTCAGATATCCAAAGAGCTGGCCAGCTGAAAGAGTAACTCTACGAGCACTCTGGACAAAACTTGGCAGGAGTAACACAAAATGTAACACCTGGGAGAATACACGGTCCTCTCTGTTTCTGAGTGGTTGTTAAACATGCTATTAGAGTCCTGCTTTTACCCCCAAATGAAGAACATGGCCAGGATTTGCCAGGAAACCTGATAGTGGAATCAACCCACTGGGAAGCCTAGAATCAGACTTCAGGGGCTGTTTGCAAAAGGTGATGAATACACAGCTGGCACCTGTGCTCACCCCATCTTGCATTTTCTTGTCTAAATGAAACAAACACTGCCTCCACTCGGGGTCCCAAGCAGCTGTACCGGGTACAGGTGGGCAGAGGCTGCCGCACTGCTGAGCTCTGCTAGAGGCCAAGAGGGGATTCTCTCCTGCACCACAGGGTAGCGTGTGCGCACACCCATACCACAGGCAGGGCCCCTGGGAGCTAGAAAAATGTCAGGAAAGGCTCGGCCTCTCAAGTATTAGGACATGTGCCTCAGGAAGGAGCGGCGCTTCCACGGAGGCAAATACCAAAGACAAAAGTAAAAAACTATCCCGGGGCACCTGGGTGGCTCAGTGGGTTAAAGCCTCTGCCTTTGGCTCAGGTCCTAATCCCAGGGTCCTGGGATCGAGCCCCACATTGGGCTCTCTGCTCGGCAGGGAGCCTGATTCTTCTCTCTCTGCCTGCCTCTCTGCCTACTAGTGATCTCTGTCTGTCAAATAAATGAATAAAATCTTAAAAAAAAAAAAGAAAAAGAAAAAACTATCTATCCCTAGCTGCCTCTGCTTTAATTCCATGGCCAGCAAGCAACCTCTTCACGTGGAGTTCGTTTTCTTGCCCTGATGTGGGGGGCGGGGGGGGATGCCCAGAGAGCACACCCCAAGTTCACCAGGCAGAAGAAATTCACACCTTTACTTCACCAGGCAAGTCTGGCGTCCACGTACAAGACTGAAGGTCTGGCTCGTGACCAAGAAACAGCAGAGGCCACAACCCCTACCTTCTGGGTGATGTCACCGATAAATTCTGACCCCAGTGTTGGTGGTAGGTAGAACTTCATTTCTTCCTGCTTCTCTTCCTGTTCTTTTTTGATGCTGATCTTTACCGGCTCCGGGAGGCTGAGGATGTCCACCTCCTCTTCATTTTCTGGCTCTCTTTTCTGAAACTGCTGCAGGTCCTCCAGTTTCCGGCAGAGGTTGTCGGCAGAGGAGAATGACGACGGGCACTCTAAATGAGAGGGGGTCAGTCTTAGGACAGCTGTGCTGGCCACAGGGAAGGACCTACCATCTCCGTAAGACCAACAGTCCGAGACCCAGAGAAGAAGGGTCAGTATCAAGGGAGCTGACCTTCTTTCCAGTTCTTGAATGCTGTGGATCTGTAACTGTGAGAGCTAGGAATTTATGAGACAGACAAGCACAGAGACAGGTGACTCGTGTTACCTATATACGTGATGCGACTGCAATCTAAGACAAAACAGTACATAATTTGGACTCACACCACCAAAATCTAGGCCATGCCCTAAAGCCCCAGATACTAACAACTAACCCATTTTCATATTAAAGACTGGAAAATCTTAAAGTGCACAGCGAGGAAAATAAGTATCACCCAGCTGAGCCCCTCTCACTGCTCAGAGGCTAGTATGTTAACACACAGTACACACTGAGCGTCATCTGTAAGATGCTGATGTACACAACGTCTAACACAGAGTACAAAGCCGGAGGGGACCTCAGAACCTTCCAGCACATCCTTTCACCTTACGGATGAGGAAGTGAGGTCCATACCAGGTACAAGATGGGCTTATGATACCCAGGCAGGCTGGTGGTGGGGCATCCAGCTTCTGGCTTCTTCTGTTTCACTGACTGGCCCTTACAAATTCACCAGTCACTGTTACACAACGCCTGGTGTGTGTGACGTGCTGTGCTTCCCATATGCTGCCAGTGAAGCACGGAGATGACCAACATGCTTTCCGTCCTCCGAAGAACTTAGATACTTATTTCTGACAAACCAGTAAGGTTCTGGAATTAGTGTTGCTGGATTTCAGAGAAAGGAGAGGTCATCCTGCATTAGGGCTCTCAGGAAAGCTTCATGGAGGAAATGGAACTTGTGCTAAGTCTTAAGAACCCCCTCTCCTTCACACACACACTCCCTGTGCTCCAGGCTCTCTCAAACTGGGAGGTAGAGCTCCTGCTTTTCTAGAAAAGTAGGGTTGGGAGGAGAAAACAACCCTTCTTATTCTTTAAGGTGAAACTCAAAAATATTCTCCCTACGTATCCTTTATGCCCTGCTCCCACCCCCACAGAGCACAACTGTTTGTTTACCATAAAACAATTCATCTCATCTGCAGTACTAATTAGTGGTTTCCATTTTTGTCTCCAGCACTGGGTATGTCCTAGCGAGGTCTGGAGATAAAGTAACACATAAGACAGTGCCTACATCTTCGAGGAGATTGGGTAGACCTGTCTATGAGGGGTCAAAAGGTCACAAAGGAAGGAGAAGTCAGTTCCATCTGGAGGAAAGGAGGGGGATTAGCAAAGTCTTCAAAGAAGAAATGATGCTAAGGAGGGGGACCCTGGAACAAACAGTATGTGTCTGTCATATGCCACAGGCTGGACTATTCCTGGCTGAGGCCCAATGCTGGGGACACTCAGGCACAAATAGTTCTGTAGGGGCTGTACTGAGACCAGAGGGAGACAGAACACACAGCTACAGGTGAGCCAAGGCCCCTGTTCCTCAAGGCCTCCAGGGCTGAAGTGGCCCAGCCCAAGAACCTTGGAAGCAGAAGAGTTGAGCGCCTGTTCCATGAAACCACCTCTCAGGCTACTGACAGGCCCAGGGAGCCCCACTGAAGGCATACCTGGCTCGCTGTCGATCTGGGTCAGCACATCCTCAATAGAGTCGCCGTCGCTCCTCAAGGTCTCGGGATCGGGTGGGGTGTAGCCGTGGCAGCGACACCAGTGAGCGATGTGCTTGGTTTTAAGGGGAGTCAGGTGGTGAAATCTTGGATTCTTCTCCAGGATTTCTTGTAAGACTTTTCGCATGGTCATTGCTCTTTGCCACTTAAAAACAAAATTTTTTTGAATCATAATCAATTTCAAACTTCACAGTGTGTTCAAATAAATCACCCAACTGTAAATGACCATGCTAACTTAACTTGTTAGAATTTTTTTTTTTTTAATCTGATTGTGTTTTTAAGAAGTTTTAAAAAGAAGCAAAGGAACTTCTACCTGATGTTCATGAAATAACACTGAAACTCCTAGGTGTGGCCTAAAAGGTTTTCCACCTGGTCTCCACCTTTGGTCTCCAGCTTCCCTCTCCCCACTGAACTTCTCCAAACCCATCACACTAACCTTCTCACAGCTTCCTAAGCATATGCCTTAGGCTGTGCCACTTTCTCCTAGAGCCCCACCACCGGGCACCGTAGCAGCCACATCGTAAGTACTCAACAAATACTTGGTTTCATTTTCATATAGTGAAAGAAAATCATAAAAGATGTTTAGAAATTTTTATCAACGCAGAAACAAGTAGCCCTATCAAAGGCTAGCAGCTACAAGTGTTTGAAGACTGAGATTTTAAATGGAGGAAAAAATTCTACCATTAAATATTTAACAAAATGCGCTGTAAATTTTATCACTCTTCTGTCAGACGAGGTTTTTGGAAGCAGCCAGAATGCACGTATGTTCTGGTTACCGTCTCCCCAGGCTCTGGGAAGCCCGAAGAGCAACTGGGATTACCTCGGCAGCTCTCCTTTTCCCAATGTTCCAGCCATAATACTGCTCCACAGACTTCGCAGAAAAACAGCTGGCGTCTTCACCTAGAACGCACATATCCAGCACACTCTGAATAAACTTGGGCTGCAGTCAAATCTTTTTCGCTAGAGGTATGTCCTGAAGTTTCTAGACCTGTTTACGGGACCTGTGTTCCATACCTTGCCAAGCTCTCCTGCAGCCTAACACAGAGGCCTTCTGCCTAAAAGGGAAGGCATCTTATTTATCCGCGTGTATGCGAACAATGGGGCCTCTGGGGAACCGGCTTCATGGCAGAAGCCTGCCTACCCCTCGGGCGCAGTGCACATGGCGTGCGCCAGCAGAAGCAGATGTGAGATCCAGCCTTAACTCACTGAGTAGTGTCGGGCACCTCACGGCACCTCTCTGGGCCTCAGTTTTCCAACCTGTAAAATGACTGTTGGGAAAGGTTTCTGACCTGCCTTCCAGCTCTAATATTCTCTTTGTATCTAACATTTTAAAACACAGGGATTTAAAAAATTTTTCCTGTGGGGCTAGGAAAATGTCCCTGAATGTGTACTTTGAACTACCTCAGAATGACCCCCAGGCTTCAAGAACCAAGGGAAAAGAGGTAATTTCTTTGCTGTTAGAAAAAAAATAAACAGGGCAGGCTGTACGTGGCCTATTGTTTCCATAATCCCATGAATGTAATATGATACTCTGCTTCCTCCCTTGCCTGTAAATGTCTGCAGTCATCTTGCTTGAGTGCACACACCTAAGTATCAACAGGCTACCTGCCCCCTAAAGGCAGCTGGTTCTGTCAGAACAACTGTGGCTGAGAAGCAAGTGTTTGTTTCAGTCTTGCTGACAAGGGGCAGTGACAGCAGACTTCACTGCTAGAAACCTGCATAATCGTGCACTTCAACAAAGTGAGGGACAGTGGGTGACAGAAGATTAATGGCTCTGGAGTCAAACAGACCCAGGTTAGTATTCTTCCTTACCACCCACAGCTAGTGATCTTGAGCAAGTTACTTAACCTCGCTTGTCCTCGGTTTTCTCATCTGTAAAAATGGGAGGTGATACCGCCTATCCCACGAGAGACAGTAAAAGTCCGGAGCCTGCAGAGTCTGGCACATTGTAGGCAAATGCTTATTTCTTTCCTTATTAAAAACATTAAAAACTAATGCAGTTTTAATTATATACACAATAGACTTATAATTTACATACAATAAAAGACCAACTGGTTGACCAAGATATTGTGAATTCTAAGATCCTGCAAATGAACTATAGTTAGAACCCAAACTACCTAAGGTAACTACCACATCCATATTACTTTATAATGTAAGATGATTCAAGGTGACTCAATATCCCAATAGTTCACAGCTTTAAAAATGCATCCATATATTCAGGTAATGGTCTTACTTTTTGCAGTGACTAAGGGGATCTTCTTTACTACTGCTGTTAAGAGTTGCTGGATAGTTTCTAAATGGTCTATCCTGAGAGGGATTAAAAAAAAAAAGAATAGTAAGGTAGAAAATACAACAGTTTCTAGCCATACACACACACACACACACACAGTCATGTATATATTCCCTTCTTTCCAAGGGAATTAAAATTAACCAATTATATTGGGGATGTCTTTCCTTCCACAGATAACATTCTAAACATAAACTAGATGAGACCCCAGAAATAAAATTATACAAATATCATTTTATCTGTATTTTAAAATTAACTAGCCACATACCTTTTTGCAGCTGACTGCCACTAGGGCAGGACATTACTCTATACAAATGCCTATTCTTAGGATTATTCCAGCTCATGCTGTCACCAATCATGTGAAAGTGGCTTAAGTTTCCACCATCCCCAATAATTTGACTTACTTCAAAATACATGATCAGAGGTGGGTTCCCAACTTGGAAATTAGAAAACCTCATGAAGTATTTTCAGAAGAGTATGTACAGCCCATGAAGAGTCATCTGTTTAAGATCAGGCGGGTGTGTGGATACTCAGGTGTAAAATGTATACACACCCAAGAATTACAACCACGAGAAATTTCATGCCCAAGGATTCAGCAAAGAGAGCACATGCCGTCAAGCTCCGCTGGAGGGAGATCTGTCCCACCTGAGGCTTTGGAGGCGACAAGTCCATGGCTGCCCCAAGGTGATATGGAAGAGTTCAGTGAAGACTCCCCGGCCGTGCATCAAGAGCGAACACCTGCTCACTGCACGTGGACAGAGGGCTTCCCACCCTCCAAAGTGCTAAATTCTATACAGACACAACTCTACACAAACTCAGCTCTCACAGGCATGGGTTTCAAAAAGTACCCGGTAAAACACCAAATGCACAACTCCATTAGAAAGGAATGAAATAATTACTTGATGACATAGTTTCCCAGCTCAGAACTTTCTTCTGTTTTCACAGCTGTCTGACCCTCCTGGGAGAGGCAGCCTGGCCCAGGCACTTCTGGTTCGGTCTTTACTACAAAGGAAGAGCAACAAAAAAGAGCTGTCAGCCTTCAATGACGGAAGGACACGTGCTGGCAGAAACAAAAGCTCTTCCACGGAGACTCAGTGAGGAAACTGCCACACCAGCTGCTGTAAGGACACAGCCGGGGGACTGAGATGGCACCCAGCGTCACAGGATCAGCAGACAAGGGAAGAACTGTTACCGCGGGTCTCAGGGGGAGCGACTCCAGGCTCGTGACAAGGCAGGGCAATAAAGTGGCTTTTTATATATTTCTTCAAGGGCCAAGCACACTGCTATGCGATAGCCCCCTCACTAAACCGCATACACACTGCCACGTTAAAATACAATGCTGGCCCGTTCTAAGTTCTAGTATCCTTTTGGATATCATCTCTCCAGCTAAGTTCGTCAACTTTCGGCATTATCTTAGTGTTCTGACACATAAGACAGAAAGCAAAAATCAGATCTACTGTGCTTGGAAACAGCCAAGCCAAACACAGTAGGCTTGAATCTTACCAAATTTACTGATGGAAGATAGCAGTGTCTCAGGTGCACGTGCCTCCCTGTACTTCCGCAGTCTTCTGGGATTAAAAGCACATGACCACACGCCTTCTACGTCTGCGTCAGCTTCCCTGCTTTCAGTCTCTTCCCCTTAAAACTCACCCTGCACATCAGCACATGACCTTTGTCGTGTCCTTTCTGTACTCAACATCCTCAGTACTTTCCTACATAACAAGGGTCTACAAATGAGATATGCTCCATCTCTCCCCTTTTTACTGATGCATAAACTTGCATAAATGCACAAATACTAAGTGTATGGCTCAGCTGCCTGGGTACACCCCCACGGACACCATTCCAATCAGATATAGAGTATTTTGGGGCACCTGGTTGGCTCAGTCAGAAGAGCATGGGACTCTGGATCTCGGGGTCATGCCACAAGGGGTACAGAGCTTACTTAAATAAAGCTTAAAAAAAAAAAAAAAAAAGATGGCATATTCCTAGTCCTCAACCAGGCTCCCTACACTTCTGGCGGTTCCTGCCTGCCAAAGACAACCACCTTTCATCCACTTTGAACTTCACATAACTGGAATCATACTGTACATAATCCTGTCCATCAGCATTTTTTAGCTATTAAAAATAACAACGCAATGGCCGTTCTTGCGTATGTCTTTTGATGGATGGACATACGTGCACACTTCCTGGAAGTGTATTTGCTGGAACCGAGAGCAGATGTACGTTTAGCTTTATTAGGCAATGCCAAACTGCTTTCCTAAGTGAATGTATCAATTTATAGTGCCACCAGCAGTGCAGGCAAGTTCCAGCTGCTTCGCATCCTTGCCAAAACTCGATATGACCAGTGTTTCGAATTTTGGTGCTCTAACAGCATCATCTCACTATGCCTTTTATTTGCATTTTCTTGATAACTAATGAGTTTGTACAACTTTTCACATCTTTACAAGCTATCTGGATACCCTCTTCTGTGCAGGGTCTGTTCACATTTTTTGCTCTTAAAACATCTGTGCCCAAAGTCATGAAGACATTCTTCTCTTCTAGAAAGCTTTACTGTTTAAGCTTTTACATAAGTTCATAAACCAACTCAAATTAAATTTAAAAAAAATATTTTATTTATTCATTTGACAGACAGAGACCATAAGCAGGCAGAGAGGCAGGCAGAGAGAGAGAGGAGGAAGCAGGCTCTCCACTGAGCAGAGATCCCGATGCGGGGCTCGATCCCAGGACCCTGAGATCATGACCTGAGCCAAAGGCAGAGGAGCCTCCCAGGCACCCCAACTCAAAATAATTTTTGCTTATGGTGTAAGGTTCATTGTTTTCCTAAATGGATATATCTAATTAACCCAGCACTACTTATGGAAATGGACACCCTTTCCCTACTGAACATCACAAATCAAGTGACCATAAATGTGTGAGTCTATTTCGGGGCTTTCTTTTCTATTCCATTATTCTGTCTACTCTTGAATACAACACTATCTCAATACTGTAACATTATAGTATGTGTATCTGGTGGTCCAAGTCCCCTACCTTTTTGTTCTTCAAAAGTGCCTCAGCTATTCTGGGCCTTTGCATTTCCACATACATATTAGACTTAGCCTATTTCTACACACACATACACACACACACCAACACTGCAGGCATTTTGGCTGGGACTATATTGATTCTGCATGTCATTTTTGGGGGGAGAACTGATAACACATCAGGTCTTTCTGTAAATTAATATAATTTATCATATTTATAATAAATTACAGTTGAGCCTTAAACAACTTGGAGGGTTAGGGGTACCAAATCTCTGCAGTCGAAAACCCATCCATAACTTTTTGACTCCTCAAAAACTTAACTATTAATAGTGTACTACTGATTGGAAGCCTTAATGATAACATAAATGGTTGATTAACACATATTTTGTATGTTATATGTAACATATACTGTATTCTTACAATAAAGTTAGAGAAAAGAAAATATTAAGAAAATCATAAAGAAGAGAAAATATATTTTCTCTTAAGTACTGTACTGTATTGAAACAAATCTGTGGTAAGTGGACCTGCACAGTTCAAATCTGTGTTGTTTAAAGGGTCAACTGTATTTGTAACAATAAGGTATATCCTCCCATTTATTTAGGTCTTTTCACTTTCAGAACTGTTTAGTAGGTTGTTAGCATTTCATTTCTATATAAAAAATTAACTTTTTACATGTATATATTGACTTGTAGTGAATGACCCTGCTAATTTCACTGTTAGCACTATATATTCCCTCAATCCCTAGTGATTCCAAGACTTCAAGTATCAGAAGGAAGTACTTAGAAAAAGTTCACATACTCCAGTTCTGTAGGTACAAGTACACTCACATTAATCTGGCCCTCAAACAACTACAGAATTGTATAATTAGCATTTTCAGGTTGACCGAGCTATTCTACTAGAGAATATGCTCTCACAGAATTGTGCACACAGCCCCAAACTGGAAACAACCCTAAAGTCCACCAACAGGAGAAATGATAAACAAATTCAAGTGTATTCCCTACAATGTGGAATACTATTCAGGTACAATATGTATGAATCTCCAAAACATTACAGTGAATAAATACAACCAGACATGCATGTGCTTCCACTTGTATAAAGTTAAAAAATAGGCGCAACTGTTCTGTTGTAAGGGAAATCAGAACAGCGGCTGCCTGTGGGGGTTGGGAACTGACTGGAAGGGGCACAAGGTAATGAAAATTTCTGTATCTTGAAATGGAAAATGGGTTACATGGGTTTATAAAGAAGTTCATCAAATGGTATGCTTAGTACCTCTGCATTTCAATACACAAGATTTTACCACAATTAAAATAAAAACAGAGATGCTCTAACCCCGGCCCAAAATCAACTGAATCCGAATCTGTATGAGGAAGGCCTACGAAACCTGTTATTGAGGAGAAATGCTGGTCCAGGCTGACACCAGCTCTTTCGTCAGTATCTTCTGATCAGATGTTGGCAAACTTTTCTTATAAAGAACCAATCAGTAAATATTTTAGGCTCTATTGGTCCTATGACCTTGACTGGTACTTATCAACTCGGCCATGAAAGAGCACCCACAGATCATATGTAAATAAACGGGAATGGCTGGGTGCCAACTAATTTTATTTTTAAAAAAGGCAGGAGACCATAATCGGCAAATCCATTTTACTTGCTCATGGCGTAAGTTACAAATCCACCTTTTCTCAAGACTACTGTGGAAGATCTGGCATGCCTGAAAAGCAGATGTACTTCAAAGTCTGACTGCACTGCTTTTTAACTTTCAAGGTTTGGGAAGGAGATATTTAATATCTCCAAACTTCAGCTTTCTCATCTGCAAAATGGGCCTACTAACTATCTGGAAGTCCTGTGAGAAAGTGATCTGTATAAAGCAGCTAGCGTGGTGCCTGGTACACCTGAGGCTCTTAGCACGTGGTAGCTCTCGGTATTCTAGATGTTATAGACCTAACCCACCACACTGGCTCAGTCTACTTAGTACTTAAAATGTTCCCCTGGCCAGCCTGCCAACACCTGGCCCCTCTGAAGTTCCTTTACCACAACTGTACCTCCCAGATGAGTCCCCCTAACTGGTTTACTTCCCCGAATAAGCCCTCTGAGTGTTTGTCTCTATTGCTTCTCCATGTGGCAGCACTCTCCTGCTCCCTCACAGTGCTTCCCTCTTCTCAAGTCCAGGCTGTAACCCACATTCCATATTGCATATGAAGTCCTCCACCCTGCACACCCCCCGCCCCTGGCTAGACATCCGAGACTGAAATACTGCAGCATTCACTTTCCAGATCACTTATCCCACATTTATCGATCACGCTTGCTGTCTACTACTACTCTCTTCAAGTTCTTAAAGGGGAGATGATGCTCTGTCCGTCCCTGTTTCCCTCAGTGTCCAATCTACTATATAAACTAGAAATACTCGGTAAGTATTTCTGACGTGACTGATTCACAGAGGCTGAAAATCAAGGGACCCGATTATAAAAATGTCTTACACAAAACTTCCAGGTAAAAATACCATGAGAAACTACCTACCTTTCGTAACAGCTGCTGAAGCAGAGCTGGGGATAATCGGAGTTGGGGCAGCTACAGGCAGAATGGCAGGGGATTTGTTGGCAGAAAATGACTGAACCACTAACAAGTTAAAAAAAAAGAGAGAGAGGCTGTAAGAAATATAAAAATTATCACTCCCAGGTGATGGCCTCATTTTAGAAGAATGGCACAGAAACAGTTTCAGTACAACGTTAAAAAGGTCCTTACTGAATATAGTGATTTGACAAGGTCGGCTGTTTACTGACAACACAAGGGTAAGTGAGCTATGATCTTCAACTGTGGAAATGGGGGCTTGTCACTAAGAAAATAAAAATCCAATCAGCCTGGAACGCTCATAAATCCTTAAAATACTACCCCTCTACTGAACTTTAGAAATGGGGAGCTACTTAGAAACCAATGCATCATCTGGGGTTCACATTCAGGGTGAGAGTCGGTGCTCCAGAGTTCAAAATGCCAAGGAGAACAGATGGTCAAAGGGCAGGCCGCACGGGGAGGGGCCACCGGCAGAATATGGCCCTCCGTCCCCCAGCCATGGAGGCCAGCACACCCCCGGGTGACGGACTTACCTTTATTCACAGGCATCAGGATAGTCTGTACCCCTCCGGATGTATTTACACTGAGTGGCTTGAGCTGGCTGGGGATCGTCAGGACAGCCTGCTGGGGATTGGATTGACTGGAGTGAATCTTTAGCAATCCTAAAACAAGTTGGAAGATAAGGCCAAGCTGAAGATCAGATGCTTTCTTGAAGTCCTGCCCTCTTGAGCATTCACGTGTTCTCACAGGAGGAAGGTCTTAGGGCATTTACCCCTTCAATGAACAGAAAGCTGGAAGCATGAGGCATGGGCGTGGCAGATTTCACAATGAAAAAAATGACGTGACAGTGAGGACTGAGTTTTGCCCCACAATCTCACTTATAGTCCAGCTGTGGAGACAACAGCATTAACATTTTAAGATAGTTCTCTCCCATGTTTGTTTTCTATGACAATTTCTTTGTTCTGTATACAGCTGTGACAGGTACAAATTGGATGTAAAATTTTATATACTGATTTGGAGAACTGTCATTTCCTACTTAAAAACCTTCTCTGGGGGTGCCTGGGTGGCTCAGTCAGTTGAGTGTCTGTCTTCTGCTCAGATCATGATCCCAGGGTCCTGGGATCGAGCCCCACATCAGGTTCTCTGCTCGGCGGAGAGCCTGCTTCTCCCTTTCCCTCTGCCTGCTGCTCCCCTTGCCTGTCTCTCATTCTCCGTCTCTGTCAAATAAAAATAAAATCTTTAAAAAACAAAAAACAAAAAACCTTTTCTGGCTCCTGGCTGCCTAGAGAACGTTTCCAAAATTAGTTCCAAAGTATTCAGAGTCCACTTTAATCTGTGCCCAGTTATCTGTGTCCCCTTCACACCAGCCCTATAGATCGAATGCTCTGAAAATCTGTGTACTCACCATGTCTTCTAACTTCTACCTCTTTGCAGCTCTTACCTTCCAAACATCAGACATTCGCAATTATCATTTTTTAAAGCAAACTCTACCTACAATGTGGGGCTCAAACTCAAGACCCCAAGATCAAGAGTGGAATGCTCAACTGACCAAGTCAGCCAGGCACTCCCCCACTTACCATTCTAGAAAGGGTCATCCTCTCCCACTTTCCTTTAGGGGTAACTTCCATACTCCCATTTCCCTTACACAACTACTGGAGGCATTCAGAGGGCCAGTAAAAAACGACAAAGTGCTTTTATTATGAGACAGCACACAGAACAAAACAGAGATGAATGCCGTCACATAAAACTTAAAAACGGGGGACGCCTGGGTGGCTCAGTTGGTTAAGCAGCTGCCTTCGGCTCAGGTCATGATCCCAGCGTCCTGGGATCGAGTCCCACATCGGGCTCCTTGCTTGTCAGGGAGCCTGCTTCTCCCTCTGCCTCTGCCTGCCATTCTGTCTGCCTGTGCTCGCTCGCTCTCCCTCTCTCTCTCTGACAAATAAATAAATAAAATCTTTAAAAAAAATAAAAATAGAATGTTTCTAAAAAAAAAAAAAAAAAAAAAAAAACTTAAAAACGGCATTCAAGGGGCACCTGGGTGGCTCAGTCGTTAAGTGTCTGCCTTTGGGTCGGGTCATGATCCCAGGGTCCTGGGATCAAGCCCCACATCAGGCTCCCTGCTCAGCAGGAAGCCTGCGTCTCCCTCTCCCACTCCCCCTGCTTGTGTTATCTCTCTTGATGTGTTTCTCTGTGTCAAATAAATAATAAAATCTTTTTTTTTTTTTTTTTTTTTAAACCAGCATCCAAGGGGCACCTGCGTGGCTCAGTTGGTTAAGCATTGGACTCTTCATTTTGCTCAGTCATGATCTCAGGGTGGTGAGATCCAGCCCTGCGCCAGGCCCCACGCCCCCCTCCCCAATCGCTCACATGTTCGCTTTTTCGCTCTTAAAAAAAAAGAAAAGAAAAGAAAAAAACTACAGGATTCGAGGCTCAAGATACTTTAAGGCACTGGAAAGCAGCGGGTATGAGCAAAAGGAAAGGAAACAAATACTTTCGGAAACAAAGTCTTAAATAAAAAAGAGAATCTTTCTTTGGAATAGATGAATGTCAAATCGGTCTGGTGTTAAGTTCTTACTGAGACGTGCCCTCAGAGAAACAACTATGACCCGGTTTTTCATATTTTTAAAATCCTTATTTTTATCAAAATATTATAGGCTTATCAGTTGAAAATAAAGTGCTAAAAAGGCTTTGAATTAAATACAGTCATTCTTTCCTCCACCTCTCCCCGTCTTCATGTAGTTCCTCAGCAGCAACCACTTTCAACTCTGTTGGCTCCTTCTTTTAATATTTATCTCAGTAACTTTAAAAGACTGTCTACTGTAGGCCTTAATTTTGATGGCACACACAGCCTTGCTATCTGGGTAGACGCAGGCATTTTAAGGCACTTCCACCCCTCACCACCAGTAGTGTTCTCTACTGATCCAAAGAACACCACTACACTGAGATTCCATTTTGTTCTCTGGAGATAATATTTGCTCTTTTTTTAGTTCTTAGTTCTCCTTCAACATCTTACCAAGTCTTCCCACTTTCTTCAAAACTGCTATAAACCACCTCCCCTCTTATATAATTCTCCGTATGGTCAGCTCTCCTAGGTAACTTCTAGTTCCACTCTTTCTAAGAGAGAACTTTGCCTAGCTCTCTGATCTGCTCCACTGGGTCTTCCAGGCCTGCGTACCCGTGGCCATCCTGGGACATCCTTCACCATTATCCTGGGAATTCCCTTTGCCTTCCTTCTATACTGGATCTCGTTTCTTCCTCTTTCTTGCTCTACACCTCTTCACTCTGGTAAAAAATACATATTTTAGTAATGTCTTGAGACAGGGAGCCTAGGAGAGAGTTAGAACTGTGCCTGTCAGAAAATATTTCTACCCTCACTCTCAGGAATGACCTGGCTGGCAACAGATACTCGGCTACAAGTCATTTTCCCCTAGAATTTTGAAGAGCAGGCTCACGGCTTCCAGCACTGCTGAGAAGCCCAATGATAATGTAATTTCTGATCTTTCCTGTTTCTTCCTCTGACGGCTTGTCAGATCCTCTCCTTGTCCCTGGTGTCTTGATTTCATGAACAAACGGTGCCTCCATGTGAGGAGTCTTTCATTCGCTGTGCCAGACACCGTGCCTTTTGAGCTTGGAAGTTTGTCTCTTCAATTCTGAGATAAACTGTTTCCTTTCTTGGATCATTTCCTTCCCACTATCTTCTGTTTTCTTTCTGGTACTTCTTTTAGTATGATATTGCCAGGACTCCCTGATACACCACCGAATTTTCTTGTTTAGTGTCCACTTCTTGGTTTGCTCTCTGCTTCTACCTTGTGCCCCAGAGTTTAGTCTAAACGCTACAGCCAGTGATTCTGTGGAAAGGTAAGGCAGATCATGTTACGCCTTTGTTTTAAATCTTCCAATGGCTTCCCTTGGAGTAAAAGTCAAAGTTCTTGACATGACCTCCAAAGGCCCTATGTGATTTGGCCTCCATCACTCTGACTTTATGTCCTAGTACTCTTTCCCTTGCTCATTCTGCTCCAGTCACAACAGTGACCTTGTTCAAAATACTCCATAATGCACACACAAAAAATTAAATTAAAAAATTAATGGTTATACCGCAGTAAAAACAGAGCTGACATATACACAAAAGAATTAACGGGCAGCGGAAAATAGTTTGGCTCTTCTGTGAAAACATTATATACAGAAAGTTTCATCAGCAGCATCTCAGGAAATGAGAACTTAAAGCCAGGAGACTTCATTTACTTCATGTTAAAAACTTAATTAGAAAAGGGGAAGGTGGGAGTGTCTGGGTGGTGCAGTTGGTTAAGTACCTGGCTCTAGATTTTGGATCAGGTCATGATCTCAGGGTGGTGGGATTAAGCCTGCACCAGGCTCCATGCTCAGTGGGGAGTCTGCTGGAGAGTCTCTCTCTCTCCCTCCGCCCCTCACTCTAACCCCTATTCGAGCTCTCTAAAAAAAGAAAAGGAGAGGGCATTTATTTCTCATAAAGTGATCCTTTATTTCTACAATTTCTACTCCAGTCCCAACACAGTGCCTGCAAACATTCCGTTAGCAGAGAACAGCACTCCCTATACTAGAACTTGCTCGATGGTAACTGGTAGGTGGAAGTATGGGAAAAACTACCAGCCTTTATCTCTGGTATTGAACTACCCAAAAAAAAAAAGACATGGGGGCTTGGGGACACGTATGAAATGTAGTAATAATAGCAATAAGAATAACAATACTCACAATCTTTTATCCAAAGGCACTAAGGTACTGGCGTGTATTTGTGTGTTAATGTATGTTTTTGTGTGTCGATCAGTGCCAGCGGGTAAGCTGTTATCGATCTGTAACAAGGTCACACAGAATCTAATAGTGTTCAGAAACATTCCTAACAGTGTGACACTGCTGTGACATTTTTATTGTACTTTACAGGAGTATCTGCCCTCAAGCACATTAGTATTTTTGTGGCAAAACACAAATATTCATAGTCAGTCATATAAACAGCCTGTCCAACAGAGGTCAGATTTCACACTAAAATTAGTTACGCAAACAAAGAAGCAAAAAAACACCTTTGGTCTTCACAGCTTTTTTGGATTTTAGAGTTCAAGGAAATGCAGACAAGGATACTAAACTCTCTAATAGCGGCGATTATTTATATAATGGCTACTACATGTCGGACAGCAGTCTAGGCACTTACATATGGATTCATTTAATCCTCTCAACCGTATGTCAGTATTATTATCAACCTTATTTTACAGCCAAGGAAACTGAACCAAGTTTTTCAACTAAGGCAATTTGGCTCCAGGATTTGTGCTGTATGTTAACCAACGAAGTGAAAGGCACACTCTTCTGGGGCCATTTGGGGTGGGCCCAAAGAGAGCAGCCATCTTGCCAGACTGCACACATCACTCTAACACTGCCCAACATAACAACTAATGTTAAAAATCACAACGTGGAGTCATCAAGGCTAACTTATATTTTATATACTGTTTATGAAAGTATGTTTTATAATGTCTTCCATTCAAAACTGATGATAATAAAAAAGAAAATGATAATGTAAGGAGAGTAAATTTTCAGTTCTCCACAAAGTTACGTGATGAAAGCAGTTAAAATACTCCACAGAGCTCTGGATGGCTAAAATCTTATTATATATATCATTTAAAATTTATTATTCCATCCACAAACCATTTCAGACTTAAGGATTTATGTGTAGATTTTAGGAATAAATTATCAAAAAAGCAGCTATATGGAAAATATTGCTGAGTTAATTATTTTTAACAACTTACTGTACAAAATATCATCAAAGACCTTCCAAAAAATGTTCTAGCCCAAAGAAGGCAGAGAGCAAGAATGTCCTTATGATACAACTGACCTGACACGGTGGCCTTCCCGGAGATGGGGTTTGGCGTGGGCACCAGGGATGTGGCGCTGATGACGGAGGGAGCTGCAGCCTTGCAGGATGGCATGGGGGTCTGGCTCACACACACTGCTTGCTGCCCAGAAGTTTTCATTACAGAACCGATAGCAGATGATGAACTGGGAGTTGTTCCTTCTGACTGCTCACACACAGGGCCAAAAATAGTACAAATTAAGAAAGCAGTGTAACTTACTTAGAACAATGACTGCCATGTAGTATATTCAAAAATATTATCTATTAGCTATTATTTTTATCTACCTGTTAAATGCCATGTCATTTAATTAAATACCATTGCCTCTCTTGTTCGGTGTTTCCAACACTTTCAGAGTTCATGGACCAGGAAAGTTTTTAAATTTTTAATGGCTACCATATTAAAAACAACAACAAAAATCAAAAACCCTCACCATCTATTACATCACTTTATAAAAGGATATTTCAACACCAAAAAGAGGAGGACATAAACTCAGAATATAAAAGTGGAATAAAATGAGTTTTATTAAAAACTCACTATAATGTCTTAACATTTGTCTCATTCATCCCACCAACATCTACCACATGGCAGGCATGACATTAAATGCTAGGGCCCAGGGGCGCCTGGGTGGCTCAGTGGGTTAAGCCCCTGCCTTCGGCTCGGGTCATGACCTTGGGGTCCTGGGATGGAGTCCTGCATCGGGCTCTCTGCTCGGTGGGGAGCCTGCTTCCCCCTCCCTCTCTCTGCCTGCTTCTCTGCCTACTTGTGATCTCTGTCAAATAAATAAAGTTTAAAAAAAAAATTTATAAATGCTAGGGCCCAGAGATAAAAGCCCTCAAGGAGGACAGGTTTACCAAACTATGATGAGTGCTATAGTAGGCACCGGCACAAGGTACTATTAAAATGGAGAGGAAAATTACTGTTTCTGTCTAGGGATGGGAAGCAGAGAGCACTGGGAAAACTTCATGTACAAACATGGCGCTTTAGGAGAATCCTCAAAATTCAAGACAAGGAAAGGGGGAGACAAAGGAATGTTTCTTGGCAGAAGTTGGCAGAAGACAGTAGAAAGAAAGAGAAGCATGAAAGAACACGATATGTTCAAGGAACTACAAAGTAAGAGTGATATGACTAAGCATATGAAAAGTCTAGTAGGAGATAAAACCTGGAAAAAGAACTTGAGGTGCCAAGACAATTCAACGGGGAAATAGACCAACTGTTGCTGGGCCAACTGGCTATCTATATACAAAAGAATGAAGTTTGGCCCCTACCTCACACCATGTAAAAATTAACTAAAAATGATCAAAGACCTACATATAAGAGCTAAAACTATAAAACTCTTCAAAGAAAATACTGGCTTAAATTTTGTGACTTTGGATTAGGCAATGGCTTCTTAGCTATACCAACAGCATAAGCAATAAAAGGAAAATAAACTGGGCCGCCTGGGTGGCTCAGTGGGTTAAGCCGCTGCCTTCGGCTCAGGTCATGATCTCAGGTCCCTGGGATCGAGTCCCGCGTCGGGCTCTCTGCTCAGCAGGGAGCCTGCTTCCCTCTCTCTCTCTCTCTGCCTGCCTCTCCATCTACTTGTGATCTCTCTCTGTCAAATAAATAGATAAAATCTTAAAAAAAAAAAAAAGGAAAATAAACTGGACTTCATCAAAATTTAAAAATTTTGTGGTTTTCAAAGAGTACCCTCAAGAAAGTGAAAAGATGTCCCACAGACTGGGAGAAAATTTTTGCAAATCTCTTAAGAGACTCATATCTAGAATATCTAAAGAACACTTAAAACTCAGTAATAAAAAAGAATAATCCAACTAACTCATGAGCAGAGGTTCTGAAGAGAATTCTCCCAGGAAGATACAGAAATGGACAATAAGTACATGCAAAGATGCTCAATATCATCAGCCATCACAGAAATGCAAATCAAAACCACAATGAGATACCATTTCACACCCACCAGAATGGCTGTAACAACAAGAAAAAATGTACAAGAACAAGCATCAGCAAGGATGTGGAAAAACTGGGGCTCTCGTACATTGCTGGCAGGAGTCTAAAATGGTGCAGCTATTTGGAAAAACTGGCAATTCCTCAAAATGTTAAACAGCTTATGATATGACCAGGAATCCCTATCTATATAGCAAAAAAAACCCCAAAACATATGATTATACAAAAACTTGAACATAAATGTTCACAGTAGCATTATTCATCATAGTCAAAAGGTAGAAACCATCCATATGTCCATAAACTAATAAATATAAAAAAAGAATGTGATATGGCCATAAAATTGGATATTGACTATTCACGTATAAAGTAGTACTAAGACATGCTACAACGTGGATGAATCCTGAAAATATGAGAAAGAAGCCAGACACAAGAAAGATCAGTGGTTGTCTAGTATCGGGGGTGGGGGGGAGGGGGGAGATGGGGAACAGGGAGTGACGGCTATTGCGTATGGAGTGCGCTTGAGGAGTGATTAAACATTCTAAAACGGATAGTGATGACGACTGCACAACCTTGAGAATATAATAAAAACCACAGGAACTGCACACTTGAAAATGGAGAATTTCATGGCATGTGAACTGTATTTCAAGTTTTTAAAAAAGATAAATATGACCCACTGGTATACCTGCTAAGTATCTTACGTTTTTACTACTTTGATGTTGTATTACGGTTTTCTACTGTCATGCTAATCCTCACCGGCTGGGCAGGACCGTTTGCTGAGAGGGCCACAGCTGGGGAAGTGGCCGTTGTGATCACCCCTCCTGCCACTCTGAGCATGGTGGTTCCAGGCTTTGAGAGTTGCGAGGTGGCTGGCACAGACTTTAGTGTGCTATCAGATATTTTCATTAGCGATGCTTGTCCCCCAGGGGCTGCCTGCAGAAACAAAAATGGGTGGAAGTAATAAAGTTGCCCTGGTTCACAGGCACCGTTTATTCCTTACCTAGGCAGGGCCCATGAATCAGAGCATATCCAAGAAGGTCTTGCTAATCACATATAGGTATCTGGGCACCTTTCCAGTAAGCTCTCAAGTTTGACTTTTTACGTACAGACATTCCTTTAGCTCTAATGCAGAGTAAGTAAAGGAGTGCGTTTGCAAGTCACTATCTGGCGGCAGTGACTACAGAGATACCAGGTCATGTGTTACCAGAATTTGCTCTTGAATGTACACGTAACCTTTAAACATGAAAATCTGAACAAGATGGGCCAGATTTAAATGGGTACATTAAGTGCTCTAGGCTGGTTCAGGCTCAGATTTTTACTACCACTCAACAAATGTAGTACCATTCAACAAACTACAGTTTTACTGGGTTAAATCAAGGCTCAGCAAGTTTTTCCTGTAAATGGCATAAGCGTGGAGAGCACTGCGGGCCATATGGTCTTTGTTTCAACTCCTCAGTTCTACTGTTACAGCATGAAACGAGTGTGGCTGTGGGCCAATAAATTATTTATAAAAACAAGAAGCCTCAGGCATAGTATGCAGACCCCCTGGCCCAAATGATTGCTTAAAGCCCAAATTAATATACTCCACAAGCAGAGACCATTCTTCAGTCCTTGAGGAGCTACTTTGTGTCAGGATGGCAGAAAGCATTTTTATGTACCTTACATCATTCAACCTTGTCATAAACTTCAGAGGGTAGGTTCTAGTCTCATTTACAGATGAAGAGATTAAGGTCAGTAGTTTTACCAGGACCACACAGTTAGTAACGGGAGGAGCCATGACTACAATCTAGAAGCAGTAGCCATGGCATAACTTATTTGCATTGGAGTCTGATGCAAATTAAAAACCACAATGAGGTATCACTTCATACTCACAAAAATGGCTAAAAATGTAAAGGAAGAAGGTCCTCCGTGTTGTTGAGGATATAGGACAACTGGAACTCTCTCACGTTACTTATGGGAGAGTCAAATGGTACAACCACTTTGCAAACCATTTGTCAGTTTCTTATAAACTCTCTTATACACATATACTTACCCTAGGACCTAGCTATTCTACTGCACAAAAGAGCTATACAAGAATATTCGTAGCAGTATGGCTCATAATAAAAAACCAGAAATAATCCAAGTGTCTATCAACAGCAGACTAAAAGTCATACAAGAAAATACTACTTAAGAATAAGAAAGAATAGGAGCACCTGGGTGGCTCAGCAGGTTAAGCCTCTGCCTTCAGCTCAGGTCATGATCTCAGGGTCCTGGGATTGAGTCCCGCATTGGGCTCTCTGCTCAGCAGGGAGCCTGCTTCCTCCCCCCATCTCTCTCTGCCTGCCTCTCTGCCTACTTGTGATCTCTCTCTCTCTGTCAAATAAATAAATAACATCTTAAAAAAAAGGAATAAGAAAGAATAAACTACTGACACACATATGAATAAATCTCAAAAACATGTTAGAACAACAGAAAATGGACATGAAAGACTATATACTATATAGTTTTACTGACATGAAGTTCAGAAACAGAGATTAGCTCATCTATGGTGACAGAAATAGAAAAATGATGACTGAAAGGGAAATGAGGGTACATTTTAGAGTGATGGAAATGTTCTGTATCTTGACTGGGATAGTGCTTGCATGAGTTTACACATTGGTCAACACTCACTGAACAGTACACTTACGATCTGTGCACTGCTCTATGTAAATAATACTTATTAAAAAGCAACGATAATTGTTCTGCTGTAGCCAAACAGGGAGAATGTCACTACACTGGCTGCAACCATAAGTAGGTAAGAAGAAATAAGCTAAGATTTTAAAGAACTGCCTGAAGAATTCTGGGACCTCATATCTGTTTAAATACTAAGCACACCTGACCAAAGGGAAATTAGTACTCAAAGAAACCAAACACTAGAAATATGAAAAGATCAGTGATCAAGAAAAAAAGGGGAAGATGCGTAACTATCATAATCAAGAATGAAAGGAAGGGGTGCCTGGGTGGCTCAGTTGGTTATGCATCTGACTTTTTTTTTTTTAAATAAGATTTTATTTATTTATTTGACAGACAGATATCACAAGTAGGCAGAGAGGCAGGCAGAGAGAGGGGGGGAAGCAGGCTCCCCGCCGAGCAGAGAGCCCGATACGGGGCTCAATCCCAGGACCTTGGGATCATAACCTGAGCCGAAGGCAGAGGCTTAACCCACTGAGCCACCCAGGCGCCCCTGCATCTGACTCTTGATTTCAGCGCAGGTCATGATCTCAGGGTTGTGAGATCAAGCCCCATAGCGGGCCAGCCCCATGCTGGGTGTGGAGCCTGCTTAAGATGCTCTCTCTTCCTCTGCCTCTCCCCACAACCCCCCAATCCCCACTCAGGCACTCTTGCTCTAAAAAGAAAAAAAAGAAAAGAAAAGAAAAGAAAAGGATATAAAAAGGGGCCATCCAAATATTTTACAGACATTAGAAGGATAATAAAGGAAAATTATGAACGATTTTATTCTAGTAAATTCAACCACTTAGATGAAATGGACACATTTCCTTAAAGCTGTAACTTATCAAACCTCCCTCAAGATGAAACAAATAACCTGAATAGTCCTGTATCTAGTAAATAAATTGAAATTGTAGTTAAAAACCTTCCCAATTAACAAGACTCCAGGCCATTATGGCTTCACTGGTGTACTCAAGACAGTCAAGAAACAATACCAAATCTACATAAAATCTTCGCAAAAATGTGAATAGGAGAGAAAAGTTCCACACTCATTTTAGGAGGTCAGCATCACTCTATCAAAACCAGACAAGAATTATGAAGAGAACGATGGACCAATAACCTTACAGAAATCCTAAACAAAATTTTATGAAATGAAATCCAACAATACCTTTAAACAAGATAATATGTCAAAACCAAGTGGGTTTTCAAGGGCTACAGGGCTAGTTTAACACTTTTTAAAAACTTTCATATTTTTTAAGTAATCTCTATGCCCAATGTAGGGCTCGAACTCATGACCCTGAGATCAAGAGTCACATGCTCCACCAGCTGAGCCAGACAGGCACCCCTTGGTTTAACATCGTAAAAATTAATGTAATTCACCATGTTAACAAAAAAAGAAAAACCATACGATCTTCTCAACAAACACAGAAAAAACATTTGACAAAAATGCAATATCCACATTCCATGCTTTGAGAGCTACTGATTTAGACACAGAGGAAATGCACTATTTTTTTGATAAATGGTATCTTACTGCCTACATCCTTCCATACCTTGTTTGCTTCATTTGGTAAATTTCTGAGATTTTAGCTATAGATTCTCTGGCAGGTAATTATGACATCCCTCACCCAGCTAAAATTCCCTGTCATTATTCTTTGGCTTATACTAAAAAAACTCTATAGAAACAGGTACCAAAACCCCTACAGCACTGACCTTTTTTTTTTTTTAAGATTTTATTTATTTATTTGACAGACAGAAATCACAAGTAGGCAGAAAGGCAGGCAGAAAGAGAGGGGGAAGCATGTTCCCTGCTGAGCAGAGAGTCAAACACGGGGCTTGATCCCAGCACCTGAGATCATGACCTGAGCCAAAGGCAGATGCTTTAACCCACTGAGCCACCCAGGCACCCCCAGCATTTACTTTTTTTTACAACTAGCCCTTGAACAATAGGGCTTTGAGCTACACATGTCCATTTATATGTGGGGTTTTTTAAATTGTTATTTTAAGAAGGCTCCCTGCCCAACGTGGGACTTGAACTCACAACCCTGATATCAAGAGTCAGATACTCTACTGACTAAGCCTGTCAGGTAGGTGCCCCAGTGGGTGGTTTGTTTGTTTTAATAAATACAGTATAGTTCTGTAAATATTCCTTCTTCCTTAGGATATTTTTTTAAGATTATATTTATTTACTTGACAGAGAAAATGACAGCAAGAGAGGGAACACAGGCAGGGGGAGTGGGAGAGGGAGAAGCAGGCTTCCCAACAAGCAGGGAGCCCGATGTGGGGCTCATCCCAGGACCCAGGGATCATGACCCGAGCCAAAGGCAGACGTTTAAAGACTAAGCCACCCAGGTGCTCCTTAAAAAAAATGACTTTTTAGTAACATTTTCTTTTCTCTAGCTTATTTGATTGTCAGAATAGAGTATATAATACATACAATGTACAAAATGTGGGTTAATCGACCATGTTTTCGGTAAGGCTCCCGGTCAATGGTAGGCTATTAACAGTGGGGAAGTCCAGTTATATGTGAATTTTCCACTGCGTGAGAGGTTGGCGCCCCAAAACCGCATTGAGCAAGGGTCAAGTGTATAAGGATATTGTGGCTGTCATCACCTATTACACATTTAGAATCACCTATATATGAAGTTCCCCCAGAGAAATTTTTAGAATGAGGTATTAAGAAAATTTTATTTCTTTTAAGGAAATATTATGTAGGGTTTTTTTTGTTTATTTGTTTTTTTGCCTCTCACAAATAGTGTGAATTTTATAACTGATCATGCTTTGATTTGCTTTGGCAAATATTATACAGGACATAACTGTTTGCATATCTAAGAACTCTCTGGCCTTATCTTCTCATTCTACCTAAATTTCCCCAAATCTCAAGATTTTATCCTTATTTTTCTATTCTATTTTATTGTTCATTTTCTCATGCAACCTTAATTTCTTTGTGGAAAGAGATAAGCTGTAAACATGTAAATAAATGCCATCACCAGCCTGTATTTGGGGAATATGAATATTTACCTGGGTAAACAAAGTGGTTTTTTGTCCAGAGATGACTTTTAATGTTTGTTGTCCTTGTGCAGAAGATGTGCTGACTCCCAGTGTTCCTTGGACCACTGACCCAGTAGTCAGCTGTTTTCCAGATGTCTGGGGTGATGGCTGACCAACTAAAAATGTACCCTAAGTTAGAAACAAATAAAGAACTACTCAGTAATTTGTAAAGTTCAAATGACTTGCCCTCTTTAAATCACAAGGTCCCATGATACAAGATACAATGCCCCCACTTCAATTTTGCAACTCAGCCAAAATAACTGAAAAGAACAGCTCTGTTCTCGATGTCACCAGCAATAGCTATCCCCACTTCTGAAACTTGGCACAGGAGTTATAGAGGAGGCCGCTGGAAATGCAAGCTCTACAACCTAGTCCTTAAATTTGAGTTATTCAGGCTGATAACTACCCATCCTTCTCAATACGAACATCTAGACCAAAACTCCACGACCTTCCTTAGAAAGGAGTCAAGACTAAAAGGAGCAAGGGGAAAGAAGATAGAAATTTGTTCCTAATCATGAATCCAGCCTAACTCCAAATGCCAAAACCTGATGGTATCTTTTTGGTTACTCTTTTCCAACAGAAAATTTTCAACTGCCTATTAACACTATTAATTACCTCACAGATTTAGGAGGCAACAATCTTTGAGTCAGAAAGCTCTAGGTTTAAGTCCAAATTCAAGGACTGGCTTAGCAGAAAGATCTTGGAAAAGTTACTTAAGTCTTTCTGAATCTCCATGTCCCCTTCTCTCAAAACAAAACAAGCCCCAAATAATACAGATTTATAACATGACTAAAATGTAAGTACTGACTCCTGATTCCAGAGATGTAAAGATAAATCCACTATAACTAAAGGCCATTGTTAAATAACGAAATGATTTGAAAGATACTAGTCACAAATGCTCCGACCTGAGGAGTCTGCTTCAGGATGTAAGATGTGTAAGTCAGGTGCTGGGAGATCCCTCCTGGGCCAGCAGGGCTCTGGGTCCCTCCTGTGCCACCACCACTGCCACCACCTCCCCCACCGCCGCCGCTTCCTGCAGCTGAGCCAGACTGGAGGTCTGAAAATACAACAAAATGACAGCAACATCGTAAGAAATAGTAAGAGGCTTACCAGAAAAAACAGATGAGCCCAGAGAGACATTTCCTTTACAGCAAGATTCCTTCCTGTTCCTATTTTCTCCCGGCTTTTTGTGGTAATATACCTATTCTGTGAGAAGGGTAAGGAGAATGCCCTAGAATTAAGGACTGAAATGGATTTCCTTTCGACTGAAGGACAGCTGACTAGTTCAGCAATCTGTACAGTGAAGAACCTGGCTTTTAACAAGACTTCCGACTTTGTTGCGGGAGACAAGGAAGAGTCTGATACTGACACTTTCTAACCAAGTATAGACTACACACTCAGAAAAGCGCTTCTCAACGTTCTGGCCTCTCATTCAATTTCAGTGACACTGCTGGAATTTGTTGTAATTTCATAGTGCTCTCTTTTCTGCCTCCCTCTGTCCTAAAAAAAAAAAAAAAACAAATGTGTTTTCCTCATACTGATAATGGCCCCAGAGCCTCATCCTCACCTCCTTTTAAATTCCATTTTAAAGCCTTTGGATCCTCTTTATTTCCCTTTTGGTGACATAATGTATATAAACTAAAACCTAGGTGCCTCTCTGGGTGAACTACAGAATCCTCACATTGTCCTTTTCTTACACATCTCACTTTTAATACCACTGCTTAGGGAGGACGGAGCAATTCCAGGGTGAGAGAAGAGAAATCACCCATTACAGTCAGTAAACAACATGGTGACTCGCTCACAGGCTACATTTGGCAATGGCAGCTCATTTCTAGTGAACTTAATTGCTATACCAATTATACTTCTGATTCAGAGGGAAATAATTCCCTTTACCCTTTCCTTTCCAACACTATCCAAATTGTTTTTCTGTATAGGGCAAAGCAAAAGTTTGTTAAGTCTAGATAAACCACCTAATTTCCTTGGGGTTTTGAGGCTTATACACTAAGGCTGACCCTGTATGTCTCTTTCCATCTCCAAACCTGGCAAACTTAAGGTGCACATCTGAGTAACAGCAGGCAGAGACACTTATTTCCACTCCTACTCCTATCCCCTCCAAAAGAAATGACACAGGCTTCCAGCTACCGTCTCCCTGGGTATCCCAGGTTTTTAGATACCACTGAAAAGAACTCTCTCGTTTATAGTTCACACGGACAGCTTTCTCCCAGCGCAGGCTCAGGAGCCATCCCACTCTCGTGTGATTTGTTCTGACCCCAGACTCTGAACCTAATTGCTATAATGAAAAACATAACAGTGTTGCCTCCTAGGACTATGATTACTTAGACCCACTTCTAGTTAAGTTATGTGTAAGTTTTAAATCCACGTAGGCAAATACTACCATCATACCACCACAGAGAGCTAGGGAAACACGTCCTGAAACAGGTAAGAGGTGCCCTCGGGTGGAAGAGATGAACATACCCAGAGACCCAAGAACCAAATGATTTAATGACGGACTGACTAGCATTGTTGGTAGCTCGTAGGATGGCTCCTTGAGGGATCAGCAGCAGTTTCCCTTTTCCTGAAGGGTTCTTGCTGTTCGTTGTAAGGTAGAGTTTAGTGCCAGGAGGCAAATTTGCTAAGTTGGCCAAATTAGTGGCTGGTAGCTGCAATGTTGCCATTACTAAAATGGTAAAGGGAAAAAAGAAAAAAAAAATTAAGAGGAAAAAACAGTGAGTAAGACAAATTAGAACTGAGGGCAATGCTACTATTAAAATTAAAAATGCAGAATAATAAAATACTTATTTAAAAAACACAAATAGTGAACTGTACAGTTTTTCTAGATACATAATACTTTCCTAGATACATAATACTTAAAAGGCTGATATTCTTAAATATCTTGCTAATTAAAAAATAACTTATGTATAAGAAGAGCTTGCTATAAATTACAAAGGAAATCTGTATTTGTACATACATATTTGTATATAAATAGGATGACCATATGTCCCAGTTTGCCCAGAACAGTTCCAGTTTACACCTGTGTCCCATTTCCATACCTATGTCCTAATCATTATGAACAGTGACTCTTTTTATTCTCAAAAGTACTATGGCTTAGACAATCAAAGAAATAATAACCTCATTTGTAGATGAATACATATTTCCTCCTGAAATCTGTTTAATGCCCCTTTAATTAATTTTTAGTAATGAATGAATCTACAGATTTGAAACAAGAAGACTTCTAACCTCTCTCACTTTCTAAGGACTAAAAAAACGCCACAGTCAACAACTATACTGTGTATAGTTGTACAGCACGTATACTATAAAATGATCGTTCACCTTTTTAAAATCTCACATTGTTTCTCTCTTAGAATTTACTTTTCATGCACACGGCTATAAACCTCTAAATGTGACTCTTCAGTGAAAACGTACACATCAAAATTTCTGCAGCGACTCTAAATTCAAATCTCCATGAAATGAAGCCTACAGACTGTTGTGAGTCACCGCAGGCAAAGGACTCTCAGAGACCCCCAGCCTGCGGCCCGAGTCCTCTTTCTCATGACCACTTTATAGCGCAAGCCTGGGAAAGCAAGTGCCCTGGAAGCTGCCCCAGAATAGTAGGGACTGACTAAAATCTGAGAGCCAGCCCTCTCTACTACTGCCACAACTCATCCCACCTCACACCACTGTACATTTGTACACTGTCGAGCAAACCTCTCTGGTCAGTCGCCAGCACCCGGAGTCCAGCCCACACTGCTCTGCATTCCTGATCTGAACCCACCTCCTCAGCGCTTCCTCCTCCCCCACCCAGCTCTTTCACCCCCAGGAATTCCTGCTCTGGTCATGATACCCTCTAGACCCTCGACCTCTTTGAACATTATCTCTTTTTGTGGTAATTAAACACTGAGTCCTCTGAAGACAAAGGACTTCCCCAGCAGCCCCTTTAGCTTAACGCTGTTTTTTTAATCTCACCTCAATGTCTTAGGGCCACGACTAGGGGAGGCACCTTTGTGCTCTCCAGTGGGGCTTCCAGACCATCACCACCCCTCATTCCGGAAGAAAACCTGCTGGTTCCTGTGAGGCTCATATCTGGCTCTACCACCTTAACCTCACCCTTCTCTCTTCTCATTTACTGAACTCCCAGCAACTTCCCCTCACTCGCTGAGGACTGACTCCTGGCTCAGTCTTGCTCCAATGCCAACGATGGTCATCCTCAGTGAGAGCACGGTAAGTGACTTGTTTAATTCTCCCGCTTCTCAGGCACTTCATTTTCTAAACTCCAGAGATCACTTCTTCCAACCCATCTGAAGCACTCATTTTTAATGCCACAAATGAACTCTGTCATCACCAATTCATCACCTCTGAAATCTTTTATTTTGGACATCCATTACCTTCTTTTTCTTTTTTCTTCTGAATCTATTTTATTTTTTTATATAAAGTTGATTCTGGTTATTCTTTCCATTTATTACTTGGTTTCTACATTTTCTTTTTAAATTTTTTTCAAGAATAATTAACAAATAGCATGAGTAGCAGGTGTACAAGATAATGACTCAGACATCCACTGCCTTCTGTCCTTCTGACTCACTGCAACAGCTCTTTAGCTTCATCATGACCCTCAAAAATTGGTAAATGTATCTAATGTCTTAGGTATATATTTTTCATGCCCTCAGAGAAACAACACATCAAGGCTTCAAACACATGCAAGGTGTTTAAACCTATTTAGTAGAGAATACACTAGTCAAGTATCTCAAAATGCTGCTGACAAATGACCACCCCAAGATTTTAAGTCTGAATACAATCCAAAGTAGAGATACGGTCAAATGAAAATTATCCTTCAGACCTGAAAGCAGTTAGCAAGAAATACCCTCTATTTTTATTTCTCTTGCTAACACACACACTCACACACCCCTTAAAATAAACCACTTACAGACCCTCTATGTAAAATGTTACCTGAAAAAGGTTACCATGTTTTTATATACTGGTTATAGCATCAACCTAACAGGTTTTCTTAGAACTAAATAAACTACTAGCAAAGAACAGTCTAGAAACAGCTGCAGGGGAAAGGACCCCCAAAGAGCATCAGTTACCTGAACCCTGGGATCCAGTCTTCTGAGGGCCGGCAGCAGTGACCTGAGTCTTGGTTAAGGCTTGCACTGGCTGAGCAACAATGGTTCCTCCGCCTCCACTCACAATTGCTTTGGCAACTCCTTGTGTCACAACTTGCTTTGGACCAACTGCTTTGGCAACAGAAGAGCTGGCCTTGGCTACAAGGATTTGGCCACCACTGATTGCCACAGCCTGTTTCACTGTTGAAGGTAAAGAAGACCCAACTGGCACCCCAACAACCTGTTGAAGATAGAGAAGAATACACCAGTGCTTCTTCTCAGTTCTTTCAAGGGCTCTTAGAACAGAACAGTCACTCTGTTGTAGCAAAGATCAAAGCAAAGCCCTAGGTATAACATATGGAGTCTAATTTAATCATCTAGGAATGCCAAGGATAGATGTGAACAATGATATTTATTACATTTTAGATATTATTACAGTAGAAGGCTATAGTTTTTGTCTTAGCCCCAGCTACTATCTAGAACTTATTTTGTATGTTTTTTTTAAATAAAAAACTTAGAAAGTACAGAAATACAAAGATAAAAATTCTACTTATCCAGAAATAACCTCTTATTCTTTCATTTTATTTATTTATTTAAGTAAACTCCATCCCCAAGGTGGGGCTTGAACTCATGACCCCAAGATCAGGAGTTGCATGCTCTACCCAACTGAGCTAACCAAGCACCCCCAAAAATAACTTAATATTTTTAATATGTTTGCTTCCAATTTTTTAATGTACATTTTAAAACACAGATTAGGATTACATGTAGAGTTTTATAATTTTTAAATTTAACATCATATTACAAGCATTTTCCAATGTTACTATTTTTCAAAAATATTTTTAGATGGCCAAATATTTTAGAACAGATATACCATAATCTATGCAAACATTCACTACTGTGTGGATATCCAGGTAATTTTAAACTTCACATTAAGAAAAACTACAATAGGGGCGCCTGGGTGGCTTAGTGGGTTAAGCCTCTGTCTTCGGCTCAGGTCATGATCTCAGGGTCCTGGGACAGAGCCCGTGTAGGGTTCCCACTCAGCGGGGAGTTTGCTTCTCCCTCTCCCTCTCCCCCTCTCTGTTTATGCATGTTCTCTCCCAAATAGATAAATAAAATCTTTTTTTTTTTCAAAGATTTTATTTATTTATTTGACAGACAGAGATCACAAGTAGGCAGAGAGGCAGGCACAGAGAGGAGGAAGCAGAAGCAGGCTCCCTGCTGAGCAGAGAGCCCGATGTGGGGCTCAATCCCAGGACTCTGGGATCATGACCTGAGCTGAAGGCAGAGGCTTAACCCACTGAGCCACCCAGGCGCCCCAGATAAATAAAATCTTAAAAAAAAAAAAAAAAAGAAAGAAAGAAAGAAAGAAAAACTGTGCAATAAACATTTCCATATATGAACTAGAAACTCCACTACTCACCATTCTTTTAAAGATCACCTCTTTCAATAACAACTCCTGTCTTACCCCATCTGAAACGCCTATTTCTTCATCTCTGGAAGTTCTAATGATTCACGTCATTTGTTAAATAGTAAAACATGTGACCCTTCTTCCAACGAATTTTTAAGAAAAATTATCTTTTTCTATATAATTCTAATTTTTCCTTTCCTTAAAGGTAAATATTTGGTTAAAAAAGAAGTCTAGGAGTGCCTGGGTGGCTCGGTCAGTTAAGTGGCCAACTCCTGATTTTGGATGAGGTCATGATCTCAGGGTCATGGGTGCAGGCCACGTGGGCTCTGTGCTTAGCTGGAAGTCTGCTTCTCTTCCTCTCCTTCTGCTCCTCCCCCACTAGGTGCACGTGCACGTGTGCCCTAAAATAATTCAATAAATCTTTTTAAAAAGGGGGGTAGGGGCACACCTGGGTGGCTCAGTCGATTAAGCGTCTGCCTTTAGTTTGGGTCATGGTCCCGGGGTCCTGGGATCCAGCCCCACGTCAGGCTCCCTGCTCAGCGGGATGTCTGCTTCTCCCTCTGACCCTCTCGTGCTCTATTAAATAAAATCTTTAAAAAGGAATCTTAAAAAAGACTCCAATACCCAAATTATGCAAGCTGGAAATATCTGGTTCTGAAGGTATTATAAAGAGAACCCTTTCAAATAAGAAAATACTATAGAACTCTTTTAAAAGTCAATAGTAGGATGTTAAATTAGAAGAAACAATTTAATTAATGGCAAACTGGGAGAGTGTTTCCCACTGCGCTCAGTTATTTCATAAAAAGAACTTCTCACCAGAAACTAGATGAAAAGACTTTTATAAGATTAAAAGAATACCAAAAGATCTACCTTCTAAAAGTGAAAATGATAAAGTATCAGTACTTTTCACCCATCAGAGTGGAGAAAAAAATTTAGAAGGCTGGTAACACCAAGAAATGACTGGAGGGTATGGGGAAACAGGAACATTTGTTCACTGCTAAAGAAAAGTAATCTGGGGGCGTCTAGGTGGCTCATTGGGCTAAAGCCTCTGCTTTTGGCTCAGGTCATGACCCCAGGGTCCTGGCATCGAGCCCCACATCGGGTTCTCTGCTCAACAGGGAGCCTGCTTCACCCTCTCTCTCTCTCTGCCTACTTGTGATCTCTGTCTGTCAAATAAATAAATAAAATCTTTAAAAAAAAAAAAAGGAAAAGTAATCTGTACAGCCACTCTAGAGAGTTACCACATATCTACTGACACTGAAAATTCACATATCCCATGTTGTAACAATTCCTCTTTTAGAAACATGTCCTAGAGAAACCTGAGACATGTGCTCAAGGGAACATGTACAGAAGGCCCAAGGTAGCATTTTTATAATTACAGAAAAATGTCAGCAAACTTAATGCCTACAACATGGAACAACATGCTTAATGCCTACAGGTAGAGGAATGCATACACTGGTATAATACAGACAGTGGACTAGCACACATTAGTAAAAATGAATGAACTAGAACTACATATATCAGCATAGACAAACTCTGACAGTACAAATACTGAAAGGGGAGATGCAGAAAAATATGAGTATAAATATCTTTCATGTAAATCTTCAAAACACACAACATTACATGTTATTTATGGCTGTGGATTTATGCAATAAAAATATGAATTGGAAAGCTACACATCCAAATTCATGATAGTGTTGCTTTTGGGAAGAACAAAGTAGACTTCAACTTTGTCATGTTTTATTTGGGGAAAATATGAAATGAAATAAATACAGACATGTTAATTTTGGGTGAAAGATATATGGGCATTGATTATTCTCTGTATTTTACTTTATAGTATTTCTAAATTAAAAATAACAGGATTGGGGTGCCTAGGTGGCTCAGTGGGTTAAGCCTCTGTCTTTGGCTCAGGTCATGATCTCAGGGTCCTGGGATCGAGCCCCACATCGGGCTCTCTGCTCAGCGGGGAGCCTGCTTCCCCCCCTCTCTCTGCCTGCCTCTCTACCTACTTGTGACTTCTGTCAAATAAATAAATAAAATCTTAAAAAAAATAACAGGATTAGCAATGATAATAATACGATTACCTAAGAAATAGAACAAAATGACAAAACATATGCAACTGATGAATGGAACTTTCCAGTTAAATAACTACTAAATCATACATGGTTTCTTTGCAAAGATGTAAATACAGTAAAATACATTTGCATGTACTTGGATGCTACAGTTGATGTAAAGAAAATGGTCTCCTAATCAACTGTTATAAACTACAGTGTAACAAAGAAGAAAGAGCGCAGGATTTTGTAAGCAGTCAGACTTGGTTTCCCAGTTTTGTTCCACTGGTTGGTAGCTGGATAAGTTATTTAATGTTTCTGAGCTTTAGCCTTAAACACCTCATCTATCAAATATGGATGATATTTATCTCATAAGATATGATGTACACAGTAAACGACAGCTGCTGCAGCCCAAGACACTTGTTATTATTAACCAAACAACAGTAATCCATGAGGTTACGTAGAGACGCAAAGGATGGAGAGTGCCAAATGGATCCACAGTTGGCTAGGGCAGTGGACCTTCATTCCTAGATTCATTTAGTCAAATAGAAATTAAAGTATGTAACATCCAGTATCTGCTTTAAAATATCCTAGGAAGAGAAGTAAGATTAGCAAAATGCTGATAATTACTGAAACCATGTAATGGGCATATAGAGTTCATTATAATAGCCTCTTACTTTTACGTAAGTTTAAGGAAGGAGAGAAAGAAAGAAAAAAAAAAAAAGACTCAAAGAACCAATGGGGGGAAAAAGCAAGTTAACTTAGAGTGGAAAAGAAATCCTCCCACTCTCTGGCTTGGTTAAAACAATCCCTTAGGATGATCCAAATCTATTTTGACTGTATGAGCCTTACTCTGCAGGCAACATGGAGTGTTGCTGTGGCCACAGAGTGGCAGAGAAACTCTTACTAATCAAGAACTTTGCCCTGCATCAGGCTCCCTCCTGGGTGTGGAGCCTACTGAAGATTCTCTCTCCATCTCCCCCTCCCCACCCCTCTGCTCTCTCTGTCAAAACAAACACTTTTCTATGTACTTATGGAAAAAAGTTTCTTAATGTAGAAAAACATTTTTGGGTAATGACAGAAGGTGACAGTTGAACCCTGATATCCATTTGTTTTCTCTCTCACAGTAAGAGAGCCCCCAGTTTTCAAATAGGGACATGGCCACATAGAACATTTCTCAGCCTAGTGCTGGTCATCTCATTTCTGGCTAGAAGGATAGGAAGAGAAGTGATGAGTGCAACTTTTGGGTTATGCCTCCTCACACCCCCTTTCTCTCTTCCTGCTGGCCAGAAATGTGAACACGGTGGCATGAAATGAAATAGCTATCGTAGCCCATAAGCTAAGAACCAAATTTCGAGAATGGCAGAACAAAATGGAGTCTAGATTCTTGATGACTGTGAAGCCAACATACTAGAACAGCCTACTGGTCTTTTATGTGTGAGAAAAAGAAAAAAAAAAACTTATTTAAGTTTTATGGGCTTTGGATTTCTCTATGATAGTAGTCAAACTATTTTTTGAGACAAGAGTCTTCATGTTTTCTAAATATATTAAACTTAATAATTCATTGCATAAGCTATATTATACAATTTATTTTCATGTTCCTAAGCCAACAAAGAAAGCAAAAAAAATCTTAAAGGAAAATACATATGGATTGGCCCTATTTTCTTTTCCGAAATTCCATGCATCTTAACTTGTTTTCTACCTTGTACCAAGCTCTATCCTCACTCACCTGCCTCAAAATTTCCAGAATATGATATTTAATCTCTCCACAAAGTAAAATGTGGTATCCCAAACTGGCCACAGGAGGGCAGTTTTCATTAGCAGAGCTTATCCAGCACTGCATACCACTCACAAGATTAACCCCACCTCCTGTCTGAAAAAAGGGAGGAGGAAGTCTGGCATCTACTGGGGAAAATCCTACGCACAGCTGTCTATGGACAGCATAAGGAAGACTCTTAAGTAGGACACTACAACCCCAAATTAGTTTTTCTTTTCTTAACAAGACAATATTTTCGCCTAGAACCTGAACTCTTCCCATTCCACACCACCTCTCTATGCATTCCTAATTTTCTTCTAGTTTCACAAAACAGACACCCTCTGTTCTCTATTGTTTTAAATACTTCCCTTTGACTCATGATTTGATTCAGTGTTTTTGTTTGTGCCCTGTCCAGGCTTTTGCAAGTCAAAATTTACTTTAACAACCAGAAAAGGAGGATTATATGTGTGTAATTTTTCCTCCAGACACTGAAAAATTTAGCCAATTACAATTTAGTACTCAATGAAAATGATCATGGTACTCCTGCATATTTACACAGGACTTGTCCTTTGTCACATTTAGCTGCTATCACTTAGTGAGTGGCTCTGTGATAAGTCCTTCCCATACAATGTTTTTTTTTTTTTTAATGATTTTATTTATTCATTTAACAGAGAGAGAGAGAGAGAATGCGCAGGCACAAGTAGGGGGAGGGGCAGAGGGAGAAGCAGACTTCCTGCTGGGCAGGGAGCCTGATGCAGGACCATGCAGGATGCAGGACTCTTATCTCCGGAGACTGGGATCCCGACTGAGCCACCCAGGCGCCCCATACACAATGATCACTAATCCTACTGGTCTGAAAGACATGGGGTATTATTCCCTTTTACTAGATGGAAAAACACAAGGCTCAGAAGTACAAACCCGCCCAGGTCGCACAAGTAATGAGTGGCTGAGATCTGTAACAAGCTCTCATTCCAAAGTCTGCACTCTTTTTACTATGCCACACTGCTTCCTTCTCACATGAACCCACTAAATGCTCAGATGTCCCATTTTATGGCAAAAAGCAGCACCCCTCTTTACTTTCAGGAAAAAGGTAAGCCAAAGTTGAATAGAAGGTAAAACAGTATAGTTCTGTTCACCCTTCTATTTTCTGGCATAGTTTCTAGGAATGCACTTCGGCAATAACCAGGGACAGTCTGTACTTGCAGACAGCTCCTTATCTGGAGTCCAAAGTTTGTACTAAATTTCCTGGATAAACAGGGTATGTCTTTTCTCATGCTCTTCTGCTTCTGTACATTTCTTTCACCCTCTTCTGTGGCTTTTCTTTTCAGGTGCCCTTAAACTTTATTCAGAGCATTTCAGCACAAAATTATCCACTTTATCTTAGTCCAATAACGCCATGAGGTAGGGTGGCAATGTGACAAGAAAGCCAGTACAGTTGTTCAGCATTACAGAGGGGTGGATTTGCAAAATGCAAAGTGTAAAAAAGTGAAACTAACTTATCCAGAGCTTCTGGGCATAAACAGCAATGCTATTTTGGCTCAAAAACATTTATAAATGAGGGGCGCCTGGGTGGCTCAGTGGGTTAAGCCTCCTCTGCCTTTGGCTCAGGTCATGATCCCAGGGTCCTGGGATAGAGCCTCGCATCGGGATCTCTGCTCAGCGGGGAGCCTGCTCCCCTCCCCCCTTCTGCCTGCCTCTCTGCCTACTTGTGATCTCTGTCAAATAAATAAACAAAATCTTTAAAAAAAAAAAAAAACAAACCTAAATGAGTGAGTCCATGTATCTTTGGTGAAGCAAAACAATTCTGAAGAATCACAAAGTGTCTGAGTAGGAAGTCTAGATAACAGTAACTGATTCATGAAAAGATTTGACAATGGCTTACTCCTAAGGCCAAAACAATAGTGAGTGCATTAGGAAGCAGCTGGGGTTACCTGTTCTAGTGATTTGGGCTAGGGAAGCCCCAAAGTCAAATTTGATGCTATAGCTTAGTGGTTCTTAAATTTGCCAAATCATACAAGTGAGCAAGAGAGCTTGATAAAAATCCAGATTCCCAAAGCCTCCAAGAAGATTCTGATTCAGAAAGTATGAGACAGGGTCTTAGTATCTATGTATTTTTAATCATCAGATGAGTCATGACCAGGTTAAGTTTGGGAAAGTGGTTAGTGGATTCTTACAGATTTTAGAACCATTCAGACTTTAGAACTGTAACATACGCATTTTTGTTACAATCTATGTGCAGCTATCTAGCCTAAACCAAAATACCTAAAACCATTTTTCTATTTTAAAGTATTCCTCTGGAGGCGGGGGGTACCTAGGTGGCTCAGTGGGTTAAGCCTCTGCCTTCCGCTCGGGTCATGATCCCAGGGTCCTGGGATCAAGCCCTGCATCAGGCTCCCTGCTCAGAGGGGAGCCTGCTTCCTCCTCTCTCTCTCTGCCTGTCCCTCTGCCTACTTGTGCTCTCTCTCTCTCTCCCTGATAAATAAATAAATAAATAAATAAATAAATAAATATATAAAATCTTTTAAAAATAAAATAAATAAATAAAGTACTCTTCTCTAAGCAATTCATCTATCCCTAGACAGGCTGCCTTTCAAGTTGAAAAACAAATATTTTTCATAATATTCTTGATAGCTTTAGAATATATCTGCCCCCTAAAATGAGATAATTTAACTCTATATGTTCTAAAAGCATGCTTAGGTTCCAGAAAATGGCTCACAAATTTTAATTAGCTCTACGATGGGAGATTTTGGAGTCAGAAGACCTGGGTTCAAATCCTGTGTCACTTATTAGCTAAAGTTCTCTCAAGAAGTTGCCTGACCCCCTCACAGGACAGTTTCCTCATTTGTAAAATGGGGTTGAGTGTATCATGAGGATTAGATAGCATGTAAATGAGAACGGGACACAGATAGGCACTCATAAGCACAACCAATGCAGGAAAACATGGGCCTATATGCCATTTTACAGTTGTCTTGATATGTTAGCTCCCCACACTTTCAAATTATAAAGCAAATAAATTCTCTGAACAGTCAAGAATCAGTAAACAGAGGCCACAGCCTGAACATCAGAGGTATAAACTACAGCACTCACCTACCAGAAACAAGTAGAACAGCTGACCCTGGTCCTGTCAGCTACCCATTTTACACCTGCATCAACTGGAAGTTGTGTCCATGAAGTCTACCATCTTCACTGCCAGAGAGATAACATAGCAACCCTATGCCTCTTTGACTATTCGTGGGCCCTCCATAACACAGCTCCTGCTCTTGTCAATGCTTACTGCAAGAGCGGACAGGTTTGACGCTGACTAACTTGCTTTTCCAACACAGCTTCCATCTACAGGATTTTCTGGGATCAGCAACCCTGTCATCTGAATTCTGTCAGCACCTTCCTGTTACTCAGGCAAATAACATTCACTGACATATTATTAACCTCCCCAACCCTACCCAACACAGACCTTGGAGGGCTGAATCTTTGGTGACTGGGAAGTCCCTTCTCCAGCAGTTAGGACCTGTTTTTGAGGGGACACAGCAATCATGTGACCCCCTTTCACTGTCACATACTGAGGGAGTGGTGACTGGCTGGCAGCTCCTGTTGCAGGCACGTGAGAGGCTTCACCAGGTTCCTGTTTGATGATTACCTGGCAACAAACATGATAATGACGCTGAATAACCATCCCATAAGAAAAGCCACTAATATCTGAAGCTATTCTGCTTGCAGGAATTAATGAATTAATGAAGCCTGGTCTATTAAAAAAAAATGACTCCAAAAAAAAAAAAATGACTCCACCATAAGGGTAGAAATACTGCTTAAATACAGCCCATAATAGCTATCAAAGGACCAAAAGTAGGATTTGATCCTGTGTTTCTGCAAACTTGACCTAGTCCATTTGTTCTAGATTTTGATGGCAAATGGCAGCAGAAAGAAACACACACACAGTTTGTACTCTCAGGAGTTACCACCTTGCTGGATACCAAGAGCTGCCCTGTGGACACGACTGAATAAATGGCAGCATGTTGCAGAAGTCTTAGAATCTGGTCTTAGGGAGTGCCTGGGTGGCTCAGTCAGTTAAGCACCTGCCTTCAGCTCAGGTCATGATCCCAGGGTCCCAGGATCAAGCCCCGAATCAAGCTCCCTGCTCAGTGGGAAGCCTGCTCCCTCTCCCACTCCCCATGCGTGAGTTCCCTCTCTGTTTCTCTCTCTGTCAAATAAATAAAATCTTAAAAAAAAAGAAAAGAAAAAAGAATCTGGTCTTAGAATTAGGACATACTAAAGAGTTACATGTTGTAGAGTAGTGTCAATCAACTCCAACATGCCACAAAAACAATTATGTAACAAAACCATACTGACTTGTGGGATAATGCCCTAATAAATACTCACTTTTGTGAAAGCTCCAAGTCCTCCAGTTAGAGGTTTAGGACTCTGAACCTTAGGGTGACTCCCAATAGGGCAAAGAGGTGGCATAGATGCAAACAAAGAATCCTCCTGCTGTGTATGTAAAAATACACATTGTATAATTAGGATAAAATAACTGACTTCAAATATTCTAGACCCTTTTATTTAATATAAACCTGTGACATTCTCTAGAAACATACCTGAAAAAACAAAACAAAACAAAACCCCAAAAGCTCAAAACTCTTTGTGGAGTTTTCCAAGCCCTGACCCTTGCATTTAATTATTGTTTTTAGAAACCAAATGCAAGGAAAGGCTATAACCTGACAAGAACCTACTCATCTGGGCCCTGGTGTATGCTGGAAAAACTATGATATACCTCTAGCATTTGGCTGATTCACTGGTTTGCATCTCCAGTCCCCTGCCTGATGGTAAGCCACTAAAGGCTTATTTTATTTCTTTTCTACCCCGAGCATAGGCACTAAATAAATAAATGAAAGAGCTACAGTGTTTCAGTATATACACCCTTTCAGTAGTATTCACACAACTTGATTTGTTGTCTTTACTCCAAATAAATACCCAACACAGAGGGAAGTTTTTCAATAGGGATTTAAAAAACAAAACAACAGAAAGAACTTAAACAATGAAGGCAAAACCAACAAAACAAAGGTAAACACTCAAAATTACTGATATTTGTCTCTAGTTCTCAAATACAAAATGTAAATCTCAGAGGCAATTAACCATAAATTAGGGACAAGCAACAAAGTTAATACTGCTTAACTATGTAATGAAAAGATCAACAAACATTAAAAACTGACTGGCAGAGAATGAAGACCTTCAAGGCAATTACTACAATTTAGGCATTCATATAACACAGTGCTCACAGGCAGCATTGCGCTCGGGAGAAAAACCTCACCTTAGAACAGAAAACTATTCAATATCATCACTGTTAAGTACCTATATGTAAGAATGTGTTAACACTTGTCATGTAGGAGATGACCTCTGAATTCTCAGTTTTCACACACCAGTTTATACCTCAAAGGCTCTAGGGAGCCATGACAATGACAAGTAACTAACTAACCAAAATAGCAGGGGCTGTCTCTGCCAAACAGTGAGCAGAGACCTAGCACTCTTAGCTGAACAAGTCAGATCATATTTGAAGTTCTAATTTTACAGGTTTCCTTACCCTGAAGGGGGGGGAGAAAAGAAAGAAAGAAAAAGAAGAAAGAAATAATTATTTTCAAGTAACTACATGGCTGACAAATAGAAAAAAATATGTATTTACTCCTTATTGGCACAAATATAGGAAGAAAAGAAGAATGCTGCTCAATGAATATTTTTATAAGAAAAAGTCTTGAACAAAGCTGACCTCCCCCCACTCCTATAAATAGCTGCGTCGTCATCATAGTAAGTTTTCAAATAGATACCGACTGTCCAACTGATGAAGCGTTGAGAAACATTTTCCATACTAGGAAAAAATCAACAGTAAGATAGGGGAGTCTGGAGTAGATGATCTTCAAGATGCTTATTAGCTTGAAGATTCTACTTAATGAAATTTGCATTATCAACTGACAAATTCTTGCTGGGCTTGAACTTACTGTCTTTACAAACTAGAAAAGTGCAATAATGCAATAAGAGTGTTACCTTGACAGTAGATGTTACAAAACTACTTCCATGAATTTTGGGAATAGGGGAACCTGCTCCTTGGGAGGCCTGGGAGGCAGTAGAGAGCTTGTTTGTAGGACTTCCTGATAAGCAAAGCAGATTTTAAAATAGTGTAAAATTTACAAAATGGAATTTAAAAGCATTTTCTACCACCTTACCCCTATACCCCACTATTTTTCATTTTTAACTGTTGAAAACTCACAACCCTGAAATTATTGAAAACATACTTAAGGATTCCTCCTATGAAGCTAACCACCTCACTAACCTAAAAACAGACAAGAAGCTAGTAAGGACATGCAGAAGAATAAGTACACAGACATTACACACTACCTGTACACAGAGACAGACACCAGAACATAAGGGTATTGGTTATATAATGATGTACCACATGAATGAATCTAACTGAATGCTAGCTCCTTCAAAATATTCTTACCAGGAGGTTGTACCTATTCCAAAGTGCTAGTGACATAAGCAATTTATACCCCACGTGTATACCTGCCTTTAGGGTCTGATAAAAGCAAGTCCCACTACCTATAGTAAAAAATAAGTCAAGACCAAAAATGGTATTTGATCACCTGCTCCATTTATCAAACGTGCCTGCAAAGACTGGCTAATTCCTATAAGTAACCATCCTCAAAGGATACCAATTTGACATCCCTGAATTTATTCAAAAGGCTATTAAGTAATTTCTGAAAGCAGCTTTTTTTTAAAGGAGTTCCACAATTATAATCACTGTTAAAGGACCTAACTTTTCCAAAAAAACTACTTAGAAAGATCCAGCATATATTCATGTGCTAAGATGAATTATGTTTAAAAAAAAAATCAGTCTTATGACCTTATAGTCACTTCTCTTTTCTCTCACTGTTTCTCTTAATTAAAAGTGAGAGCTATACCAAAGTTTACATTTAGAATCATGTGTTCAAATAGTTTAAATGAAACAAATACATAAAATAATGTTAGTGCAAATACTTGGAAAAAACCTGAAAAGCACTCTGTAGCTATAGGGAATTATGGTGACACATACAATAAATCCAGTTCTTATTCTTTCTATCAGAGGTCCCTTTTTTAAACTGCAGAGTTCATTTTCTCTCCCACACACACAATTTATCTTATTCACAGAAAAGTAAAGACCACTTTTTAGTTTGACTGGTGAGAAACATATGTGGGCCACAAAGGTATTCTTTTTCTTTTTCTGAAGCTTATTTTGGAAAATAACCACATTTGCTTGCAGGCCCAAAAAGAATGTCTTCTAAACGAAAACAAAATCAACTTTTTTTTTTTTTTTTTTAAGGAACATTAATTCTAGTTCTCTTTTAATCTTTAGAAATTAAAAACAAAATTTAAGTAAATTCCTAAAAAATAGAACTTTTACATATAGTACATCTTCTCGCAGAGAAACAGCACTGGCTTTACTACTCTAGAGTTCCTTCTCTTGTTTACAAACAAATACTTCATTCTCCCATTAGATGGCTACTAAGTCACGCTAGGATTTCGACTTTACGAAAGATCAAACCTTTCAGATCGCACAAATATTGATGAAATGCCTACCTGTAGTGGGAGTGGTGGCTCCAATAACCTGCCCCGGCTTATCCAGGATAACATAAGGGTTATTAATGACAGAGCTGGCAGCGCCTTGCTTCACATGGACTGGAGTGGAAGTCGGGGTTCGAGGCAGCGGTGATGGACTTGGAGTTGATATGGGGGAACCTTTATTAATAAAAAAGAGAAATGAAATAAACTAAAGACATATACTAAACCCATCTAAGAAAACACTGAAGACAATGGAGGACAAAGGTGACAAATGGGGAAAAGAGAATGGGAGTCTATGTTTCAGGTACTGAGCAACAGCAGCGGCGTAGCTGAGGCGGGGACTCATCCCTCCACCAGCATCAGCAAGCAGATTCTGAGAAACAGATTTTGAGGTGCTCCCCCAGACCTACTAAATATAAATCTGTACTTTCCAAGATTCCCCCACATACATACCCATCCCATGGGCACATTAAAGTTAAAAAAGCAGAGCTTTACATAATAGCGTGGAACTGCTGAATCCCTAGATAACCCAACTCTTCACAACTTGGGCCAATTGTTATAATAATGGTTATACTCCAAGACACTAAAATTATAGGAAATTAGTAAGTGAACAGCTAGACTTACAAACGAGGAGTCTTGATTTACAACTAATTTCCTACTTGAAAACATGGAATTCACCCACCCTAAACAGAAGTCTGTCAATACCAAGTCAGCTACAATCCAGAGATTCCTGTTCCCACAGAACACTCACAAAGATTACCCATGTACCATTCAACATCCTCAATGGTTTTTTTGTCAATCAAATTTGTCATCCATGAATTTCTCTAAACTTGTAACCAATTTGTATGTTCAGCCTATTCCGCCTCTGAAACAGCAAGTTCCAAAATGTTTCTAACTGGGAGGTAAAATTACACGTTCCTCACCTTTCATCAATTTCAAAGACTGGGATCATATTTCTGCTTAGTTGTGTATTTTTAGCACTGAAGACTCCTTTTCTCCACCTTCATATATACAGGCCTCCCACTGCCTAGGTATTTCTACTGACGTTCTTGCAAGTCTTTTCTGAAGTGATGTAACCTACACCATAAAGTATATTCCTACCTGAAGTCTACCTAACATAAATGTGAAACCGTCATGAGACAGTAGATAATTCAATCTCAGTGAAAATGAAGGCTCAGAATTACCTACTGATAATGCGAATGACTATTTTTCTATCTACTGTGCAGAGTATAAAAGACATTTTAATTCCAAACCAAGTCCCACCTTTCAAACTTTAACTCCACTCCAAAAGGCCTGCTCTAACTTTTTTTAATTACTAATCACTCTGGTTTCCATAGATAATTCAAAAACTTAATTCCTACCATAGTTTCAACCATACATCCTCGTAAACATTTTACCTCCACCACTTTTTGAACATGAAAAGTTGACCTTTTTGAATTTCATTTCTTATTCAAAAACTGTTTGCATATGAAACGACTTTTGTTTTCCCTTTGTTGACAGCTTTGCTAATCAATAGTCATTACTTATCAAATAAACAAACACCTCACTTGAAAGAATTTTTAAAAAGCCATAATACTTTCTTTTGCCATTACAACAATTTTTATACCCATCAACTTGACATACATCATCTGTATACCTGAAACAATTTTGCAGCTCATGGTGATGGGTTGGAAGGATTTTCCGGGTGACTCAGGATTAGGAACCTGACTTTGTGGCACAATTTTGCAGCTTGATGCTATTGGCTGAAAAGCTGAATTGCCATGAGAACAAAAAGTAACTTTCTGGGATGTCGTCATTTTGGTGGGTGTTCGTTCCAATGAAGATGGCAAAGAATAAAAAGTAGTGTGTCTCTCAGCTTCGGTATTGGTTGGGAAGCCTATTTGAAATGAAACAGGCAAATGGTAAGTCATGAATCACTTAGACATAATAAAACCTTTCCACTGTGGTTAAAGAATGAAACAATAAAAATCCCTTCTCATTTCAACAACCATTTAAACCACTTCCCAGTAAAATACATACAATTAACAGTATTTATAAACCCTTCTATACACATAATTAGATGAAATGTAAATTATCAGTTTAGAATCATTTTATTAAAATGTTTCTTTCAAAAAATTAGAAAACATATTAACTATAAAGCACATACAATATAAAAAGTATACAAGTATATTATGTTCTGAATCAGAAAGCTATTTAAATTGAAAAGAATAACTTGAAGCATTCACTTAATCTAATAATGTTCTATTTTATTAAATGCCCATGAAGATGCAACTGAAATTTAAAGAGGAATAAAACTGAAATTTGTAAAAGGACTAAAATATTAACATCACATTAAAATGTAGGCTTAGGGGGCACCTGCTGACTCAATCAGTTAAGTGTCCGATTGCTGACCGGCTCAGGTCATGACCTCAGAGTTGTGAGACTGAGCCCCACATTGGGCTCTATCTACACTGAATGTGGAGCCTGCCTAAGATTCTCTCTCTCTTCCCCTCTGCCTGTCCCTCCTCTCTCTCTCTTAAAATAAATAAACAAATATAAATAAAAATGCAGGTTTGGAGATTAAACTGACACCATTTAGAACCAGTTTTATATCTTACACGTATAGGTCAGAGAAATTATTAAATCATACACTTAAATATTTACTAAATGAAAAAATGCCATAGTCAAAATACCTTTGATTAACCTTCTTAAATTATTTTAAAATTAAATTAATTTTTAAATTAATTTTGAGGGGGGAGGGGCAGGAGAGGGAGAGAGAGAAGCTTACGCAGACTCCCTACTGATGCAGGGCTCAATCCTAGGACTCTTAAGATCATGACTGGAATGGAACTCAAGAGCAGGATGCTTAACTGACTGAGACCCCCAGGCACCCTGACAATGAATCTTATACTGGTTTTTTGGTTTTGCTGTTTTTCTTTCTTTCCTTTTTTTTTTTTTTTTTTTTTCAAAGTAGGCTGAACTGAGCGAGGAGCCTAACAAAGAGTTCAATCCCAGGACCCTGAGATCAAGACCTGAGCTGAGATCAAAAGTGGGATGGTTAACGGACTGAGCCACCCAAGCACCCCTTATATTGCATTCTTAATTCCAATACAGTTAACATACAGTATTATGTAAGTTCAGGTATATAATATAGTGATTCAGCAACTGTATACATTATTCAATGCTCATCACAAGTGTATCCATAATCTCCTTCACCTATTTCACCCACTCCCTCACCCACCTCTGCTTTGCTAACCATCAGTTTATTCTCTATAGTTAAGAGTCTGGTGTTTTTTTTTTCTTTTTCTTTTTTTTTTTTTGGTCTCTTTTTTTTGTTAGTTTGTTTTGTAAACTCTACATATGAGTAAAATCATATGGTATTTGTCTTTCTGATTTATTTCACTTAGAATTATACTCTCTAGATCAATCCATGCCACTGCAAATGGCAAGATTCATTCTTTTTAAGTCTGAGTAATATTCCAGTTTACAAAGGTACCACCTCTTTTCTATCCATTCATCTGTCACTTGCACTGCTTCCATAATCTGGCTGTTGTAAATAATGCTGCAATAAACATAGGGGTGAGTGTATCTTTTCGAATTCATGTTTTTTGTATTCCTTGGGTAAATACCCAGTAGTAGAATTACTGTATCATATATATAATACTTATGTTTTTCATTTTTTGAGGCATCTGTGTTCCACAGTGGCTGCACCACTTTGCATTCCCACCCACAGTCCACGAGGGTTCCCTTTTCTCCACATCCTCACCAGCACTTGCTCTTTCTTGTGTTTCTGATTCTAGCCATACTGACAGGTGTGAGATGATCTCTCATTGTGGTTTTGATTTGCATTTCCCTGATGATGGGTGATGCTGAATAACTTTTCATGTGTCTGTTGCCATCTGTGTGTCCTCTTTGGAGAAATGTATGTTCATGTCTTCTGCCTATATATACATTTTTTTAAGATTTTCTTTATTTGACAGACAGAGATCACAAGTAGGCAGAGAGGCAGGCAGAGAGAGGCGGGAAGCAGGCTCCCCAATGAGCAGAGAGCCCGATTTGGGGCTCGATCCCAGGACCCCAGGATCATGACCTGAGCCGAAGGCAGAGGCTTTAACCCACTGAGACACCCAGGCGCCCCTTCCGCTTATTTTTTAACTGGATTACTTGTTTTTTTGGTGTTGAGTTGTAGAAGTTCTTTGTGTATTTTGGACATGTCATTTGCAAATATTTTCCCCTATTCAGTAGGCTGTCTCTTAGTTTCATTTATTTTGCTGTGCAGAAGCTTTTTATTTTGATGTAATCCCAAGAGTTTATTTTTGTTTTTATTTTCCTTGCCTTGGGAGACATATCTAGAGAAGTGTTGCTACTGCCGATGTCACAGAAATTATTGCCTGGAATCTCTTCTAGGATTTTTATGGTTCAGATTTCATATTTAGATCCTTAACTCATGAGTTTATTTTTGTGTATGGTGTTAAGAAAGTGGCCCAGTTTCATACTTTTGCATGTTGCTGTTCTGTTTCCACAACACCATTTGTTGAACAGATGGTCTTTTTCCCATTATATATTCTTGCCTCCCCTGTCAAAGATTAATTGACCATATAAGCATGGGTTTCTTTTCAGGTTTTCTATTCTGTTCCATTGATCTATGTGTCTTTTTTGTGCCAGTACCATACTGTTTCAATTACTCCAGCTTTGTAGTATATCTTGAAATCTGGGATTGTGATACTTTCAGTTTTATTCTTTTTTAAGACTGGTTATTTAGGATTTTTTTTTTTTTTTTTTAAGGTTTATCTTATTTATGGATGCCTGGATGGCTCAGTCGGTTAAGTGTCTGACTCTTGATTTTGGCTCATGTCATGATCTCAGCATTATGGGATTGAACTCCACATCGGGCTCTGTGCTCAGCAAGAGCACTCAAGTCTGCTTGAGATTCTCTCTTTCCCTCTGCCTTTCTCCCCCAACTAGCATTCATACATGCTCTCTCTAAAATAAACAGATAGGTAGATAGATAGATAGATAAAGTCATCTTAAAAAAAAAAAAGATTTATCTTATTTATTTTAGAGAGAGGGAGAATAGGAGGGACAGAAAGAGAGGAAGAAAGAATCCCAAGGAGACTGCTGAGCATGGTGCCCAATGCAGGGTTTGATCCCACAACTCTGAGACTATGACCTGACCTGAAACCAAGAACTGGATGCTAAAACGACTGCACCACCTGGTGCCCCTTAAGGTCTTCTGTAATTCCATACAAATTTTAAGATCATTTGTTCTAGTCTGTGAAAAATGCTGTTGTTATTTTGGTATGGACTGCATTAAATCTATAGATTGCTTCGAGCAGCCTGGACACGTTAACAATATTTGTTCTTCCAACCCATGAGTATGGAGTATCTTTCCATTTGTTTGTCTCACCTTCAATTTCTTTCACAAGTGTTTCATAGTTTTCAGAGTATAAGTCTTTCACTTCCTTGATTAAGTTTATTCCTAAGTATTTTATTCTTTTTGGTGCAACTGTAAATTCAATTATTTAATTTCTCTTTCTGCTGCTTCATTATTAGTGTATAGAAATGCAACAGATTTCTATACATTGATTCTGTATCCTGTGACCTTACTAAATTCATTTATCAATACTACTAGGTTTTTTGGTGGAGTCTTCAGAATTTTCTATATATAGTATCGTGACAGTTTTACTTCTTCCTTACCAATCTGGATGCTTTTCATTTCTTTTTCTTGTCTAATTGTTAAGGTTGGGCCTTCCAGTACAACGTTGATAAAGTGGTAAGAGTGGATATCCTTGTCTTGTTCTTGACCTTGGGGGAACTGACTATGATGTTAGCTGTGAGTTTTTCATATATTATAGCCTTTATCATGTCAAAGTACATTCCTTTAAACCTACTTTGTTGAAGGTTTTTATCAGGAATGGTGTACTTTGTCAAATGCTTTTTCTGTATCTATTGAAATGATCATATGGCTTTTATACATTCTGTTATTGATGTGACCTATCACGCAGATTGATTTTTGAATACTGAACCATCCTTGCATCCCAGAAATAAATCCCATTTGATCATGGTGAATGATTTTTTTAAATTTATTGTTGGATTCAGTTAGCTACTATTTTGTTGAATTTCTGCATCTACGTTCATCAGAGATATTGCCAATAGTTCTCTTTTTTTTGGGTAGTATCTTTATCTGGTTTTAATATCAGGGTAACACTGGCCTCACAGAATGAATTAGGAAGCTTTTGTTCCTCTTCTATTTTTTTTAGAATAACCTGAGAAGAGGTACTAACTCTCCTTTAAATGTTTGGTAGAATTCCACCTGTGAAGCCATCTGGTCCTGGGCTTTTGTTTGTTGGGAGGTTTTCTTGTTTTGGGCTTTATTTATTTATTCTAGAGAGAGAAAAAGAGAGAGAGAGAGATTGCGAGTATGCATGCATGCAAGCAGGGGGTGGGGGGAGAGGGAGAGAGAAACTCAAGCAGACTCTCTGCCGAGCACAGTGCCCTATGTGGGGCTTGATCCAACAATCCTGAAATCACAACTTAAGCTGAAACCAAGAGTCGGGTGCTCAACCAATTGAGCCACCCAAGCGCCCCAGGAGTTTTGTGTACTGATTCAATTTCATTGCTGGTAATTGGTCTGTTCAAATTTCTATTTCTTCCTGATTCAGTTTTGAAAGGGTATATGTTTTTAGGAATTTATCCATTTTGTCTAGGTTGCCCAATTTGTTGGTATATAATTTTTCATAGTAGTCTTATAGTCCTTTGTATTTCTGCGGTGTCAGCTGTTATTCTGTATTTTAAATAAGATTAGATACTTTACATTCAATTTCTTGTTCACCCAACTACGTACCAAAACCAAAAAGTCTTCCTGTAACATATCCGAAGAAACTGTTACAATCATCAAAAAAATAAACATTTAATGCCTTTTTGTGAGTTTAATATTCTATAAAATACCAGTAGAACTTCATGAAAAAATTTTTTCTGATAAGAATAAAGATTTGTCTATTTTCATAATTGGACTTATAGTAGAGGCAGCATGCCTACTTATGGAAAATTTATTTTCCATACACTCTTACAGCTCTACAGGCAGTAGTTCAAAATCAAATTATGCAAATGAGAGAAAGGAATGCCCCAGAGAGCGACTCCTCTGTACAAGGAAAAATTCATTTCTATACAAGGAAAAATATATTACCTTTCTCCACACATGTATCAGGTACTGGCTCATGTGACTGCTTTATCGGTGAGGAAGCTTTCACTGGGGCTGGAATGGTCAAAGGCAAAGATGGTGGGGCATCAGAGATGTCCGACTCGGAGGACTGAGGATAAATGGAGTCTTCTCCAAGAGAGTGTCGGTGGAGCTCAACATCCACTACCTATACAATCAGGCAACAATGGGGTTCATGAATCCATCAACAATGTCACAGAAACCCCCAAACCTGTCCAAGAATGTGATACTCTAAGAGATGTGACAAATGATTTCTAATCAAACTGCAAAGGCAATTTCAATCTAAGAACTAAAGGATTTAGGGGCGCCTGGGTGGCTCAGTGGGTTGGGCCTCTGCCTTCGGCTCGGGTTGTGATCTCGGGGTCCTGGGATCGAGCCCCGTATCGGGCTCTCTGCTCAGCGGGGAGCCTGCTTCCCCCTCTCTCTCTGCCTGCCTCCCTGCCTACTTGTGGTCTCTCTCTCTCTCTCAAATAAATAAATAAAAAATTAAAAAAAAAAAAAAAGAACTAAAGGATTTATCCCAGAATGTAATCTAGTTTGGTTTAACAGATAGATAACTCAGCGAAACCAATCATGTAATCAGGGCCTTTCCATTTGCTGTTTCTATGCCTTCGAACACTATATTCTACCCCCTCCCAATCTTTGCATAACTGTCTCTTTCTCATCATTAGGTCTCAATCAATGTCACCTTCTCAGAGATGTCTTCTCTAACCAACCTAGCTAAAGCAACCCCCTTGTCCCCCAGCTACTCTCTTCTTTATAGCATGTATTTTAAGTGAAATTATCTCATTTGCTTTTGTTTACTATATACCTTCTCCCCATTTTCAACACAACCAAGAAGATAACTCCTTAAAAGCAGTAACTATCTTATTTATCTCTGTATCCCCAATACCAGGACCAGTGTCTAGTATATGGTATATGCTCAGTAAATGTCTTTTGATACAACATAGCACACTTCTCTAAACAGAATAAGGTTTAACCAGCTAATTCTCACTACAATGGCTACTGCTGATTTATCATGAATACAAAAGAAAAAAGGTGGGAGGAGTATGGGGAAGGAAAACAAAGTTGGAGGTCCCATTTCCCGACTTCAAAACTGATGATTACAAAACTATAGTAATCGAAACAGTGTGGTACTGGCATCAAGAAGACATACAGACCACTGGAATAAAATCCCCCCTCATGTATATGGTCAAATTATTTTTGACAAGGTTGCCAAGACCCCAGGGAAAGGCAGTCTTTTCAACAAATGGTGCTGGAAAACTGGGTATCCACATGCATTAGAAAGAAGGTGGATCTTTACCCTCACACCATTTATAAAAATTAACTCAAAATGGATCAAAGACCCAAACATAAGACCTAAAAACAATAAAACTCTTAGAAGGAAATATAGGGCAAAGCTTCATGACAGTGAATTTGGCAATGATTTCTTGGATATGACACTAAAAGCATAGGCAGCCAGAGGAAAAATTGATAAGTGGACTACATAAAAATTAAAAACTTGTGTGTATCAAAGGACATAATCAGCAGAGTGAAAAGGCAATCCACAAATGATCTGAAAAGAGATGATATCAAGAATGTAAAGAGAACTCCTAAAACTCAACAACAAAAACCCAAACACATGATTCACAATGGGCAAAGGATCTGTCTGACCAGACATTTCTCCCAAGAAGATTCACAAACACCCAATAAACACATGAAAGATACTCAACATCAATAATTATTAGAGAAATGCAAACCAAAACCACAACGAAATACCACCTTATCCTCATCAGTCTGGCTACTATCAAAAAAAAAAAGAAAACAATAAGAGTTGACAAAGATGTGGAGAACTGGAACTCTTGTGCACTGTTTGTAGGAATGTAAAATGGTGCAACTGCTGTGGAAATAGTGTGGCAGTCCCTCAGAAATTAAAATTAGAGCTACCATGGGGCACCTGGCTGGCTTAGGTGGTAGAGCGTGTAACTCTTGATCTTGGGGTTGTAGGTTCAAGCCCCAAGCTTGAACTTTTTTTCTACTTAAAAGAAAAAAAAAAAAAAAAAAGAGGTACTATTATGATCCAGCAATTCCACTTTCTTGTGTATATACCCCAAAGAACTGAAAACACAGACTCAAACAGATACCTATACATCCATGTTCTTGCAGGATTATTCACAATAGCCAAAAGATGTAAGCAACTCAAGTCCTCATTAACAGATAAATAAGCAAAATATGCCACATACACACAATGGACTATTATTCAGCCTTTTTTTTAGGAAGTTCTGATGCATGCTACAAGGTACATCTTTTTTTTTTTTTTTTAAGATTTTATTTATTTATTTGACAGACAGAGATCACAAGTAGGCAGAGAAGCAGACAGATAGAGAGAGGTGGAAGCAGGCTCCCTGCAGAGCACAGAGCCCGATGTGGGGCTCGATCCCAGGACACTAGGACCATGACCTGAGCCGAAGGCAGAGGCTCCAACCCACTGAGCCACCCAGGCGCCCCTACAAGGTACATCTTAAGGATGAACCTTAAGAACATTATGTTAAGTAAAATAAACCAATCATAAGAAAAAAAAATACTGTATAATTCCAGTTATATGGTACTTAGAGTAGTCAAAAAGCCATAGGACAGAAAGTAGAAGGGAGGCTTCCAGGGGCTGAAGGGAGAGGGGATTGGAAGTTACTGTAAATAGGTTTCATTTTAATTTTCCAAGATGAAGAATAGTGTGGGGGATGACAGCAATAGCTGCACAAAAATGTGATTATATTTAATACTTACTCTTACTGTACAATTAAAAATTGTTAAAAGGGTAAATTCTGTGTGCATTTTGTCATTTTTTAAAGTTAAATAGGGGAAGATAAACTTTTTAAGAAATTAAGCACTCACTTTTTTTCCTAATTACAAATGAAGATCAATTTCCATTTTACCTTATTCTCAAATAGTACTGTAGGAAAAAACCTACCGTCTCTGCTCCAAGAGTCTGCAAGCCAGTGTAAGTTCTATCCAGCTATTGAAAAGACAAAAGAAGAGTGTAAAGTTTCACTGAGCTTACTTATAAATCTTAGGATATAATCTTATCTAAAACCCCTTTCATCACAAGTCTTCATAACATAGAATCTACTTTTCCATAATATAAATTATCATCAGTTCAATAAAAACCCTCTTAATTGGGGTAGAATGAGTAAAATTAATAAAAACAATTTCAAACATACAGGTATTGTACTTTTAATATAAACTATATACTTCTAAAAACATTCCAAGGACAATCTAAAAATGGAGGAAGTTTTACACAAAAAGTATTTACTACAGCATTATCTATAACCATAAACTGAAAATGGGACCCTCCAGTAATAGAGAAATGTTTAAGTAAATCATTTTTTTAAAAGATTTTATTTATTTATTCGAGAGAGAGATAGAGAGAAAGGGAGAGCAAAGAGGGTTCTGAGAGGCAGACTTCCCACTGAGCAGAGAGCCTGATGTGGGGCTCGATCCCAGGACCCTGAGATCATGACCTACGTGATCTGTGCTGAAGGCAAGACACTTAACCAACTGGGCCACATAGGCACCCCTAAAGTAAATTTTGAACCATCATTTGTAAAGTATTACAAGCCACTTGGATGTTTACAAAGATGATGTAAAAAATATATTTAAAAACAGGCTATGGGGGTGCCTGGCTGGCTCAGTCACTAGAACGTGACTTTTGATCTTGGGTTTATAGGTGTGAGCCCCATGTTGGGTGGAGAAATTACTTAAAAAACAAAATCGTTTTTTTAGGGGTACCTGGGTGGTTCAGTTGGTTAAACTCCTGACTCTGGATTTTGGCTCAGGTCATAATCTCAGCATTGTGAGATCAAGCCCCAAGTTGGGCTCTGAGCTAGGCATGTAGCCTGCTTAAGATTCTCTCTCTCCCTCACAAAACAAAATAACAAAACAAAAACCAGTAAGTAAAAAATGTTTAAAAATCATTTCTAAAAAAAGGGACAGTGGCTCAGTCAGTTGAGCCTCTGTCTTTGGCTCCAGTCATGATTTCAGGGTCTTGGAATTGAGTCCCACATTGGGCTCCCTGCCCAGTGGGGAGCCTGTTTCTCCCTCTCCCTGCTCTTGTTCTCTCTTTCTCAAATAAATAAAATCTTTTAAAAATAAATAAGTAAAGAGATTGGCTATAAAAATACACATATAGATGACAAAATTATATATTTAAAGTATATTTTCGAAACTCTTTTGAAAAAAAATAGATGAAAATTTAAGCAATATAGGCAATGCTAATAATCACTTCCAATATATTAGCATCATGAGTGATTTATTTTAGAGGAAAGAAAGGAATGTTAATAATATAAACAAAATTTACACTTACAAAGAGGCTAAGTTCTTATTGCTATATTTTATTTATATTCCAGCACTTATAAAAAAGATCTATACACAAATATAGAATATTACTCAGCCAAAAAAAGAATGAAATCTTGCCATCTGCAAGAACTAGAGGCTATTGTGCTAAGGGAATTCAGTTAGAAAGAGACAAATTATCTTTTGTAGAATCTAAAAAAAAATGAATAAACAAACAACACCCAGAAACAGTTCTATAAACACATAGAACTGGTAGTTGCCAAAGACAACAGGGGTAGGGTGTTAGGCAAAATAAGTGAAGGGGATCAAGAGGTACAAACTTCCAGTTATATAATTAGTAAGTCACAGGGATGAAAAGTACAGCGTAGGGAATACAGTTGATAACATTGTAGTAACTTTGTATGGTGAGTACACTTATAGAGCTGAGCACTGAGTAATGTATAGAATTGTTAAATCACTATGTTGTATACCTGTAGCTAATATAACACTATCCGTCAACTATATTTCAATGAAAATCAGAAAAAGTTTTTGTCTAACATGAACAATTTGTTATTTGACAGCATTGTTGCTTTGCTTGAAGCAATAAAGCATTCTTAAAAAAAAAAAAAAGGATCTGTGGACCTTATCAGTATAAACGTTGCACAGGTGCACCTAGGTGGCTCAGCTGGTTAAGCAATGGTTTCAGCTCTTGGTTTCAGCTCAGGTCACCATCTCAGGGTCTTCAGATCAAGCCTGAGTCTGGCTCCCTGCTCAGCAGGACGTCTGTTGAGATTCTCTCTCCCTCTCCCCTTTCCCTACCAGCTCATACTCCCTCCCCCTCCCTCTCTCTCAAAAATAAATAAATCTTTTTAAAAAAAATAAACATCACACAGTAAGATCAACAGAGGAAAACTATTAAGTTGGATAAAAAGGAAAGATGACTTACTAATCAGCGAACAGAAAACTCTAAGACTCGCAAAAAGTAGATTTCAAGTCTAGCTGCGTTCTTTAGCAGCCTACACAGACATGACAACTCAGTTATGTGATCTAGTTTCAAAACAGAAAGACAATGGAGGGTGGATTCATCCTAGTTCCATGGAAGAGATCTAGTTTTAATACTTAAATCTTAGCCAACAGTATGCCTATTAATTTTAGGCTACATCCATTTTCGTATTTTTCAGAGCATGGAAATAATAGTCTCTCCATAATGCGCACTGGCTTATGTTTCATTCTTGGGACCGCACTTTGAGACATTGATAAAATAGCACTGTTATCAAAATGGCAAGAGAAACTAGAAAGCACAACACACAAGGAATTTTACAAGAACAGGTCTGCCTGGAGATGATTTAAGGAGAGACATGAAGGGCGCCTGGGTGGCTCAGTGGGTTAAGCCGCTGCCTTCGGCTCAGGTCATGATCTCAGGGTCCTGGGATCGAGTCCCGCATCGGGCTCTCTGCTCAGCAGGGAGCCTGCTTCCCTTCCTCTCTCTCTGCCTGCCTCTCTGCCTACTTGTGATCTCTGTCTGTCAAATAAATAAATAAAATCTTAAAAAAAAAAAAAAAAAAAAGGAGAGACATGAAGGCTGCCAAACATTTTTAGGGTTCTTATAAAACAAAACAAAGTCCTGTCCTGTGCTACTCCAGAAATCAATGAACACAAATAAGATCAAGGTTTAAAAAAAAAAAAAAAAAAAAAAAAAATGCACAGTTTTAAATTTATGAAAGAACCTTCCAAAAGTTTATTTACCAAACAGATAAATGATTTGTCTGGGGAATTACTGTGCTCTGGGGTGACGGCTAATCAGGAATGCAGGATGTGGGAATTTCATACATTCTGGAAACTTTAAATAGTACATACTTCCAACACTTGAGTATTTAGTATTTAATGTAATTACAAAATATCAAATATAGAGTAAGTATTTCAGCATTTCAGTATACTGAGAGGTCACTATGGGTTTAAATAGTCAGGGAAAGTACATAGGAACTTGAACTTGAAGAATGGAAAGAATTCAAACAGGCATTCTAGAGAGGGCAAGAGCATTAAAAAAAAAAAAAAAAAAAAAAGACACAAGAGAAGAAGGCCCGAGGCACTTCTGGGGCATGAATAACTGACCTAGCTGGAGTAGTATATCCATGCAGGAGATTAGTGTAAGATAATCTAGGGGAAGTATATTGAGTCAAAATGTGAAAAGCCCGGAACAGTAGGCAGGAAGTCTGAACTTGAGTAAAGGGAATTCAGTGAAGGTTTCTCAGAGAGGAAGAGCATAATGGTTCTCCTATTTCAGGAATACTAACTGGATGGTGGTGTACAGAAAGCACTGAGGGTAAAGGAGACAGATTAGAATGAAAGAAGCTAATTAGGAGATAGTAGAAAAATGGCCTAGGCAAGAGAGGGAAGGGCAAAGAATAAGAAAGATGATGAAGAAAGAATAATAATCAGCAACTGAACAAATATTTAGAACAAAGAGGCAAGAATCCAAGATGGCTCTGAGAATTAACACAGAAATAACAGGCCAAAGAGTATTCCAGTACAAACAAAAATCACATAAGTATAACATAGGCATTTAAGACCTCAAGGCCAATCAATATATAACAAACAGTAAAATTAAGTTTTCCAGAAAAGCTGATAAGAAAATTTAAATAATGTCATTTTTAAAACAGTATTTAACAGGGGCACCTGGAGAGCTCAGTTAGTAGAGCATGTGGTTCTTGATCTCAGGATCATGAGTTCAAGCCCCACATTGGGTGAAGAAGTTGCTTAAATAAATAAAACTTTAAAAATGTTTAAAATGTTCAAAAATGTTTAAAAACATAAAAAAATTATGTCTCAATCTTCCACCAGCAACTCTAAGTGATACAGACAATATACCAGTATGAGAGCTATGTAAAAAATTCCTTTTATTTTAGAAATTAGGGCTGGGTGTAGTATGATAGAAGATGGTACGTGCAGTGCTTAAAATAAGATAAAAGGAAAGCAAACTATTTTAGACCTTCCTCTAATTAAGTGGGACCATATCCTGCCCCTCTGAACAAAGTGGCTGCATATTCTTTATTTTGTTCCAGTTTTTTTCTGAGGTCATAAAGCAATCTAATCTTAGAGTAATCTCTAAAAAAATGACTTCAACACAAAGTTAAACAGTGCTATCTATCACCAATGGAGGGCAAATTTCAGCCTTAAGGTTGAAAAGGTTGTATTGGCACAACAAAGGGAACAAAATGGGAATTCTGCAGATGTACTGAGATTCATTTAGTTCAATTTTGTGAGCTACTAATGGGAACAATGTGGTAAACCACAAAATAAGGGTGTTTTGGGGATAAGTTTAATATTAGAAATATAGCTTATACAGAGAAAAGCTACAAGAGGCTATATAGAAAGGGACTAGGAAAACATTTTAAAAATGGTCTTTCAATTATAAAAGTTGAACATGTTTATTATACAAAATTAGAAGAAAAAAAAAAAAGCAACAGACAATAAGGGCAGGAGAAATTGCCCACAATGTCATTACTTCGATTACTCCAATAAATCACAGTTAATTTCATACTATATGAAGTTTGGTACTCTGCACTTTTCATTTACTATGATTGGTACTTTTTCCCTATGTATAGAAAACACTTCATAAAATATAAATTATAATGCCTGCATAATAAACCACGAGGCTATGTCAATGAAAAATTTCTTAAAATACAAATCAAAAGAATGACAACTTTGTACAGTACTTTCAATTTCCTAAAACATGTTCACTTCTGTCTTTATCCTTACAAGATAAACATACCCATATCCTTATAAGATAAACAGATGAGGTATATAATTTGCACCATTTTACAGAAAAGTAAACACATTTTGTTTTTAAGAGTTCAGTCACTTAGTCCCAGGTAACACAGTAACAGTGAGCTCTGATCAGAGATTCAAGTCTTCTGATAATCTGGCCAGTTCATTTTTTTAAAGAATATACATTCTGCTATAATGCAACCCTTCCGCCAACCTTCAGAGAACAAAGGGGTGTTGCAGTAGCCTGCATAACACAATCAAAAACATTAATCCTGCTTCCACTGTCCTTGGCCACTTCTCTCAGGAGTCCTAACCAACGGCTTTAAGTAACCAGGTAAAAAGAGTTACTTCATTTCAGGGGAGCAACACGTTGTTACCTTCAGATTATGTATGATATCTATCCGCTTGTTCTGGCTGTCCTTAAAATGAACTTGAACTCTGACAGGAAACTCACCCCAGCCTCTTCTGGTCAGGTGAAAAGGAGGCTCTCTAGGGAAAAGCATACATTAACACATTAAGCCATAGTCACGCTCTAGAGAGGAAATGTTTTCTCATACTGGGTAAGTTAGAGATTCACAGCCTCTGACAATAATTTACATTTTCTCATTTGAAGCTCAATCAATAAATGCTGAATTTTACTGAAATGCTGAAAAGAAAAATTCAACTCAAACCTACATTAAGCTTTCAGTTACTGAACACTTAGGGCTAAGAGACATGTAGTATATAATCCAATGTCCTCATTTTCACAGGCAGGGAACTAAGGTGATTTGATGGCTGTTACATATTAGAAGCCAGAATCCTTGACTACTTGACAGACACAGGCTGTGAGGTTTATGTTCCCTACCCCAGACACCCATATTTATTCCCTCACTCTGGCAAAAACAGAATAAATCACAAATGCTCAATCTGAAAGTGACAATTTATTTGGAACTATCTGCTAACAGGACTTAAAAAAACATATGTTCACCATATGATCTTCCCACACAGTGATGACGATTTTAGTGGATAGAGGAGGAATGTGTGTGAATGCTAACTGGACTGGAGAATTTTCAGTCAAAACACAATTTGTGAAGGGAAGAAAAAGGAAAGTTGATGAAAAAAAGACAAGCAAATTGTTAATGATGTTTGGTATAGGAGGGTTCAAGATACTCTACTTCGGAGTATGTTTGGAATTTTCCATAATAAAAACATTTTAAATTTAACTGAGAGAACGTCATGTACTCAAAAATAATATGGTTTAAGTTAAAGGGGGGAGAGAATGCTTTAAAATGAAAATATTCATTATGAATCAGTGGCTTGGAATCACTAAAATGAGAGAAGATGCCAAGATGGCAGGGAGAAAGGAACATTCAGTGGGATGTGTTTTTGCAAAACTAAGAAGAGACATGAATTCAGTAAAGACAAAGTCCAAGAACACAACCTGAGAGAAATCTAACAGATCTAAATTACCAAGAACAGAGCAGGAAGCTACCAGAAGGGCTCAACACAGGAAAAATCTCTGAGTGTGAGAGTGGCCTGGAAGGAAGAAAAAGCAATAGCTATGTTATCAACCAGAGAGAAAAGAAAGCAAAGCAAACCAGAGCACCCTGGACAGGAGAAACCAGCTCAACACTGGCTGAGTTAGTAAGAGAAGTAACCATGATGCTGGGATAGTTTCAGACAGAAATTAAAGAACAGGCTTGGGGTCAAATGAGAAGGTCTACCTGAGACAGCAGTTTGAAATGGACACAGCGGAGCCTAGAGGCATGGTGAACTTTAAAAGAAGAATTACAGCTCTACTGATGACATTTCTGGTCATTAAATTCCAGTGAAGTAGAGAGCCTAAATTCATTCTGCAATATGCATCAATTATACTATTTGTATGTTGGATTTCTCTTAAAATGGATATGGCAAATCAGCTGTGTTCCTCAGTTTCTGTACTTTGGTTAAACTCTAGTGAATGAACAGGAAAGACTGCTGCCAGAGAAGACAGACAAACAGCATAAAGGCCAGGAAAAAGGAACAATGCCTTTTTTTTTTTTTTTTAAAGATTTTATTTATTTGACACACAGAGAGAGAAATCACAAGCAAGCAGAGAGGCAGGCAGAGAGAGAGAGAGAGAGGAGGAAAGAGGCTCCCTGCTCAGCAGAGAGATCATGACCTGAGCCGAAGGCAGAGGCTTTAACCCACTGAGCAACCCAGGCGCCCCAGGAACAATGCTTTTAACAGGAAATTTCCCCCTAACTCTATTTTTGGAAGCAAAAAAGGAATCTAAGACTTACCAATAGACATCACTTACGGAAATGTTAAACTTCAAAAAGATACACGTATTTCACACAGAAATAGGACTGCCAGCCCCAAACAGACTTCTTTATTTCTGGATTCTTCACATCAGGTGAAATGTATCAATGACCAAGAACAAAAAACCACAGAATACTGGGCTAAAGACGTGGTTTTTTCAACACTCATGTTTGAGAGCCTAAAAATGAAATTGCCCTTTTATCAATTAAACTCTACTATTAGAATAAAACAACGTATCAAACAATTTTCTGAGGTTCCACCCAGTGAAATATGTCAAGACATTGAAGTAAGTTTTATGAACACTAAAAGGAAAAAAAATCTGATTTGCATTGAAAACCACTATACTGATTCATTCCCTAGGGTAGACAGGAGATAGAAAGATTCAATTTCATAAAATATGTGAAAATCATTAATTCAATGTAATTTTAATCCATAACTTGACACTTGGATTCTAAAGTAATCTGGAACAACACGTATGCTCAGGAATGGCCAAGAAAAGATTCTTAAAATAATCATCAAGGGAATAACCCTACCAAAGAGAAAATGCTATAAAGCAAACAATTTAAATAGTATAATACTGGTACATAAACAAATATTAAGAGAGCCTAGCATTTGATCCATACTTATATGGAACTTTAGTGTACACTGAATACAAGAAAAAGATGGATCAACCGATAAATTGATATTGGGACAACTGTCATCCACAAGAAGATAAAAAAATCCTATTTCCTAGTATGTCACTTTCTGACCATCTATCAATTCCCATCTTTCCAGCTCCATCCCTAATCCAACTATCCTCTGACCCACTGGGAATTCCACTTATTACCCACACCAATTTTCATTACCTCTCTCTTCTCTTTATATAATTTCCTTCTCTCCTTAGCTTAGATTTCACGGTGTATCATTACCATAATAACCTCATTATAAAAGTGAGGAAATCAGTGAACTGAGAAATTAGAGTTCTCAGTGAGTTGTCTACATCCACGTCAAAGTCCTTAAGAATGACATCAAGAGGAAACATTAGGACAATAGGTGCTAAAACTGTTTTTGAAAGAGGGAAGTAACTGGGAAATTAGTAGATATCTGCAACAAGAAGGATCATACAATCCTCCAAAAGAGCTGAAGGTTTTTAGACAGAAAAAGGAAACAGAAGGTCTAGAAGCCACAAATATGTGCAAGGAAGACACACCCACCCACCACCCTCCACCCCCAACCCAATGGCACATGGTATTAGAGGAAAAAACAACTGCCCTTGAAAGCTGTTCTCAGAAGCAGTGTTCTCAGAAGATAGCCATGTTTTATTTGAGTCAGGAGTAGAGGGAACATTCTGAAGAGAGCTGAGGATATAGGAAATTTCACTGATAATAAACCAAAACCACTTCTACAATACAATCACACAATGAATGTGTATGTGATATGTAACCTCATATAAAGATATAAAGAGGGACGCCTGGGTGGCTCAGTTGGTTGAGCAGCTGCCTTCGGCTCGGGTCATGATCCCAGCGTCCTGGGATCGAGTCCCGCATCGGGCTCCTTGCTCATCGGGGAGCCTGCTTCTCCCTCTGCCTCTGCCTGCCATTCTGTCTGCCTGTGCTTGCTCTCTCTCCCTCTCTCTCTCTGACAAATAAATAAATAAAATCTTTAAAAAAAAAAAATTAAAAAAAAATAAAGATATAAAGAATACACATAAGGGGTGCCTGGATGGCAAAGGTCATGACCTCATTGGTCATGAGACTGAGCCCTGCATTGAGCTCCAAGTTCGGTGTGGGGTCTGCTTGAGATGCTCTCCTTCTGCCCCTTCCCCCACTATCACACACACATGATCTTTCTTTCTCTCAAATAAATAAATAAAATAGGGGTACCTGAGTGGCTCAGTTGGTTAAGCATCTGACTCTTGATTTTGGCTCAGGTTATGGTCTCAGGGTCTTGGAGTTAAACACTGCTTTGAGTTCCATGCTCAGTGGGGAGTCTGCTTAGGGATTCTCTCTCTCCCTCTCCCTTTGCCCCCCACCCCAGTCACACACGCTCCCACTCTCTCTTTAAAATAAATAATTAAAAAAAAAAAAAAAGAATACACCTAAATGAAACAAATTTCGGAATAGCATATATATATAATAATTACATCTTTGTGAAATAATAATACCAACAACAACAAACAGCAACTATACTAGGTAAATATATGTAGGAAAAATATCACTGGGGTTACTTCTGAGAGGATGAGATCATGGGGAACTTCCAAAATTGAATATTTCTGTAATGTCAGAATCCTATGTTTAATTCTACTATATTCTGATATTTATAAAAAATAGGAACACTTTTATATTTATCTGTATCTATATAAATTCAGTTCTTTCCATGGGGAGAAAACTCCATTAATATAATTCTGACAGGAGATACTGCCTTTTCAGGGAGACAATAATCTGCAAGAGGGATCCACAGTTAAAACTCTACTGTGATGCGGGGGGAGGGGGGTAGGAAGAGGGTGGTGGGGTTATGGACATTGAGGAGGGTATGTGCTATGGTGAGTACTGTGAAATGTGTAAACCTGGCAATTCACAGACCTGTACCCCTGGGGATAAAAATACATTATATGTTTATAAAAAGATTAAAAAATTAATTTAAAAAAACTCTATTGTGACTAAAAGCCAAAGCTAAGTAAATTATTAATAATATAATAATTAAAGGGAATGTTCTCAAGTTAAATCACTCTTCTTCCACTTCAGTAAAGCTGTACTTTTTAAATTAAATAACTCAACTGTGCTTACCTAACCTCCACAAGGTCATTTGGCTTATAGCTGGGATGAAGAAAGAACCAAACTTTCTTGACGAAATGATTAATGCTGGGTTCTCTACGAGACCCTCGGACATATACCATCCACTTGTGGGTTGACTGGTCATTTTCTTCTCTCTTATCAGGAGGTATGTACCTAAAGCAGAAAAAAGAAAGTAACCTGAATTCTTTTTTCCTTCAAACCCTAACAAAACAATTAACTCCTACTTAAAACAAGATTAAAAATCAGTTACAAGAAAACAACTGGGAATTCACAAATATGTGAAGATCAAGCAACACACTACTAAACAACCAATGAGTCAAAGATGAAATCAAAGAGAAATTAAAAAACTCTTATGACAAGTGAAAATGAAAAAAAGATACGTGAAAATGGAAATACAACATACCAAAACTTAAGGGATGAAGCAAAAGGTTTTATGGAGGAAATTCATAGCAATAAATGCCTATATTAAGAAAAATTTCAATCTAACTTTACACCACAAGGGAGTAGAAAAAGAACTAAGCCCAAAATTAGTAGAGAAAAGGAAATAACAAAGATGAAAGTGAAAGTAGAGACAAAAAGACAAGAGAAAAGATTAAAGACTAAAGAGCTGTTTTGTTAAAAAGATAAAACAGACAAACCTCTGCCTTGACTTAACAAGGAAAAAAAGAGAAGGACCCAAATAATAAAATTATTTTAAAAAGAGGACACATTACAACTAATATCACACAAATACAAAGGATCATAAAACTATGAACAATTATAGGGGCACGCGGCTGACTCAGTCTGTAGAACATGTGATTCTTTATCTCAGGGTTGTGAGTTTGAGTACCACACTGGGTGCAGAGATTACTTAAAAATTAAATCTTAGGGGTGCCTGAGTGGCTCAGTGGGTTAAAGCCTCTGCCTTCGGTGCGGGTCATGATCCCAGGGTCCTGGGATCGAACCCTACATCGGGCTCTCTGCTCAGCAGGGAGCCTGCTTCTTCCTCTCTCTCTCTGCCTGCCTCTCTGCCTGCTTGTGATCTCTATCTGTCAAATAAATAAAATCTTTTTAAAAAATTAAAATAAAATAAAATCTTAAAAATAGATAAGTAAAACGTTTAAGAAAAAAACTATGAAAAATTATATGCCGACAAAGTGAACAACCTAGAAGAAATGGATAAATTCCTAGAAACATACATACTATCATGACTGACTCATGAAGACAGAAAATGTGAACAGAACAACTACTAGTAAGGAGACTGAATCAGTACTCAAAGACCTCCCAACTAAGGAAATTCCAGGATCAGATGGCGTAAAGGATGGTTTCTACTATATATGTGAAGAATTGATACAAATCTTCCTCAAACTTTTCCACAAAATACGAGGGAACACTTATAAGTTCATTTTACAAAGCTAGCATTACCCTGACCCCAAAGCCAGACAATAACACTATAAGAAAATTACAAGCCAATATCCCTGAAAAATATACATGTAAAAATCCCCAACAAAATATTAGCGAATAGAATTCAACAGTACATTAAAAAAGGATCACACATGATGACCAAGTGGTAGTTACCAGGGCTGCAAGGATGGTTCAATATCTGCAAATTAATCAGTATGATATACACTAATAAAGTGAAAGATAAAAATCATATGATCATTTCAACAGATGCAGAAAAAATACTTGACGCAATTCAACATCTATTCTTTTTTTTTTTTTTAAAGATTTTTATTTATTTATTTGACAGACAGAGATCACAAGTAGGCAAAGAGGCAGGCAGAGAGAGAGGAAGGGAAGCAGGCTCCCTGCTGAGCAGAGAGCCCGACGCGGGGCTCGATCCCAGGACCCTGGGATCATGACCTGGGCTGAAGGCAGAGGCTTTAACCCACTGAGCCACCCAGGTGCCCCTCAACATCTATTCTTGATAACAACTCTCAACAAACTGGGTACACTTCAAAATAATAAAGGCCATATATGACAAGCCTACAGCTAACATAATGGTGAAAAACTAAAAGCTTTTCCTCTAAGATCAAGAACAAGACAAGGATACTCACTGTCTCCACTTTTATTCAACATAGTACTGCAAATTCTAGCCAAATTGCAAAGGAAGAAGAACACTGTCTCTATTTGAACATAAGGTGATATTATATACAGAAAATCCTAAAGACTCCACCCCAAAACAGTTAAAACTAATAAACAGGAGTGTTTGGGTGGCTCAGTTGGTTAAGTGTCTGACTCTCAATTTGGGCTCAGGTCATGATCTCATGGTCCTGAAATCAAGCTCTGCATCGGGCTCTGCTCTCAGCAGGGGGTCTGCTTGTCCCTTGCCCCCCCCTTAGCCCCCCTCCCCCCACTTTCTCTCAAACAAATAAAATCTTTAAAAAATAAGTAAATGAAAATAAGATAAAACTAATAAACAAATTCAGTAAAGGTGCATGATATATAGTCGACATAAAAAATCAATTGTGTTTCTAACACTAACAACTATCAGAAAGAAAATCAAGAAAATAATCCCATTTATAACTGCACCAAAAATAGTAACATATTTAGGAATAAATTTAACTAAGGAAGTGGAAGACTGGAACAATGAAAACTCTAAGATACTGATGAAAGAAACTGCAGAAGACACAAATAAATAAAAAGATATTCCAAGCTCATGGACTAGAAGAATTATTATTGTTAAAATGGCCATACCACCCAAATCAATCTATAGATTTAGTTTAATCCTTATCAAAATCCTAATAGCATTTTTCATAGAAGAAAAAACAATCATAAAATCTGTATGGAGGGGCGCCTGGGTGGCTCAGAGGGTTAAGCCTCTGCCTTCGGCTCAGGTCATGGTCCCCGGGTCCTGGGATCGAGCCCCGCATCGGGCTCTCTGCTCAGTGGGGAGCCTGCTTCTCCCTCTTTCTCTGCCTGCTGCTCTGCCTACTTATGATCTCTCTCTCTGTCAAATAAATAAATAAGTAATCTTTAAAAAAAAAAAAAAACTGTGTGGAATCATAAAAGTCTTCCAAAGAACCTCTTTTTTTAGGGAAAACAAAACAAAACAAAACAGGAGGCATCATACTTCCTGATTTCAAACTATATTACAAAGCTACTGTAATAAAACAGTATGGTATTGCCATAAAAACAGACGCACAGATCAACAGAACAGAAGAGAGCACAGAAATAAACCCACGCATATATGATCAATTAATTTATGACAAAGGAGCTAAGATATACAATAGGAAAAGGATGGTCTCCTAAACGGTGTTGGGAAAACTGGAGAGCTATGTGCAAAAGAATGAAAATAGACACTTATCCTACACCACACACAAAAATCAACTTAAAACACATGAAAGACTTGAAACCATAAAACTCCTAGAAGAAAACATAAGTAAGCTCCATGACACCGGTCTGGGAAATGATTTTTTGGATTTGACACCAAAAGCAAAGGCAATGAGAACATAATGAGGACATAAATTGGTGCAACTACTATGGAAAACAAGATGTTCCTAAAAAATTAAAAACAGAACTAGCCCACTGCTGTGTACATATGCAAAGAAAACGAAAATGGGTTATCAAAGTGCTATCTGCACTCCCATGCTCACAGCAGCATTATTTATAATAGCCAAAATATGGAAACCTATACGTCCATAACAGATAAATGAATAAAGGCATGAATGGATCAAGATATATATACATACATATACAGCTGACCCTTGCACATCATGGGATTGAACTGTGCAGATCCACTTATGTGTAATTTTTTTTATAATACCGTAAATTTTCTTTTCCTTATGATTTTTTTCTTTTTTCTGGTTTTTTGTTTGTTTGTTGTTGTTGTTTTTTTTAAGTAAGCTCTACACCCAGTGTGGGGCTTGACCTCACAATCCTGAGATCAAAAGTAGTATGTTCTACAGACTAAGCCAGCAGGAGCCCCCATTATAATTTTCTTAGTAGTATTTTCTTTTCTCTAGCTTACTTTATTGTAAGAATACGTTATATAATACATGTGACATAAAAAGTATGCATTAATCAACTGTTAATGTTATCGGTAAGGCTTTCAGTCAACAGTAGGCTATTAGTAGTTAAGGTTCTAGGGAGTCAAAAGTTACACATGGATTTTTTTTTTTTTTTTAAATTTAGAAAGAGAATGAGTGCACAAGTGAGTGGGGGATGAGGGGAGCCACAAAGGGAGAGGGAGAAGAGAGAATCTTAAGCAGGCTCCATGCTCAATGCTCAGGTGCTCAAACTAGCATCTTTGAGATGATGACCTGAGCCAAAATCACGAGTTGGATGCTGGGGTGCCTGGGTGGCTCAGTCAGTTAAGTGTCTTTTTTTTTTTTTTTTTAAGATTTTATTTATTTGATAAACAGAGATCACAAGTAGGCAGAGAGGCAAGGGCGGGGGGGAAGCAGGCTCCCTGCTGAGCAGAGAGCCCAATGTGGGGCTTGATCCCAGGACCCCAAGATCATGACCTGAAACGAAAGCAGAGGCTTTGACCCACTGAGCCACCCAGGCACCCCAAGTGTCTGTCTTTTGATCTCAGCTCAGGTCATGATCTTGGGGTCCTGGGATTGAGCCCTTCATCGGGCTCCATGCTCAGTGGGGAGTCTGCTTGAGTATTCTCTCTCTCCCTCTCCCTCTGCCCCTCCCCCTCCCCTATCTCTTAAATAAATAAATCTAAAAAAAGGAGTTGGATGCTTAACCAACTGAGCCACCCACGTGCCCTTATACATGGATTTTTAACTGTGCAGGAGGTTGGTGCCCCTACCCTCGAATTGCTCAAGATTCCTCAAAGGTCAACTGAGTGTGTGTGTGTGTGTGTGTGTGTGTGTGGATAATGGACTATTCTTCAGCCATAAGAAGGCAATTCTGGCTTTGGTGAGAACATGGATGGCTGCAGAGGGCATTATGCTAAGTGGAATAAGTCAGACAGAGAAAGACAAATACTACATGGTATCACTTATATATGAAATGTAAAAAAAAAAAGTCAAACTCCTAGAAACACAGCAGAAAAAGTTACCAGAGGCTGGAGGTAGGGGAAACAGAGAGAAGTTGGTAAAAGGGTATAAACTTTCAGCTTTGAGATGATAAGGTCTAAGGATCTAAAGTATAATTGGTGACTAATATAGGGAATAAAATTCGCTGAGAAAATAGAACTTAAATGTTCACACACACACACA